CTGAAGGACCCCGGACGCCGGCAGCCTGCCTGCTGAGCCTCCGTCACGACAGCGTCAAACAGCAAGAAGCAAAACCCACAAGGCTGTAATTCATCGGCGCAGGGAGCCAATCTGTGGCAGAGGAGGCCACAAATCCCGAAATGACGCCCACATAGATCATGCGGAGAGGGAGGACCACGCCACACCCTGCTCCAGCCCCTGGTCCGTCCAGTGTCCGTTTTGGCCCCCTTCAGGACCTTCACCCAGGGACCACCTCATCAGAGGGCGGGCGGGACACGGGCGTGTTCGAAATAGACAACCGAGACCGACGGCCACCTCACCGACGCCGCTGCCGGATTCCAGCCAGCCACCTCGGGGGCGCGTCAGTGCGGAGCTCGCACGCAGGAGATACGATGGCCGAAACGGGATCGACACGTGTTCCTCGAAGGATCAATACCCTTTTCGCATCAATCTCGACCAAGGGCGGACGGCGTGTTCCGCACTCACCATGGCCGACCCCCCTCCTTCTCGCACTCGCGAAGCACGGTACACAGTACAGCTGCGGAGACCGGGTGGGAAAAGGGACTGTGCAGAGCTAGTGCTGACAGCGATAACCCCCCCCCCAACCCCCCAAACTCCCCCCTACTCCGCTTTGCATTCACAGGCAGGCAGGCACCCTCTGCTACACTACAGGCTACAGCACATGCGGTAGGCTGCAGGCTGGTCTGGCTTGACTGTGGCAGATCTGCCCCCCCCCCCTCGATTGCCCAATCTCCACTGACTCGGGGGAAAAGAAAGAGGAGAGGAACGTGCGCGAAGGAAGCATGGCAAAGTGGGGCTGCCACGTGGTAGATTCGAAGCCACGTTCCGCTGTTTCACTTCGCTTTTTTTCTTCATCTACCTGCCAAACACCTTGTTCTGCTCTGTCCGCTACTGTGGACTAGCCTGGCAGAATGGCAAGCCTTGCACGCCTGGTCCCTCTCCCTTCCGCGTCGTGGCTGGGCGCCGGTGACTTGGCGGTGGACTGAAGTCTTGCATCTCACGTGGCAGACCAGCCAGTCCAGTCGGCCAAGCTCCCGCTTCGTCCGGCCTCCCCCTTCCCCCAAGGAAATGCGCGCTGCGACGCTGGTTGGGGGAATAGTAATCAGATCAGCGTGCGGGACTCGTATCTGTGGGTGAATGGCTAGGCCCTGCCCCTCTGGAGCACTGTCAAATCGACGGCGCGCCGATAGTCGTGGGCCGATCAAGTCCCGGAACGCCGGACCACTGCCCATGTCTCCCGTCCGACGAGCTCACTGGCCCCAGGCGGCAAGGGCATGAGCCCATATGATAATAAATGCTGTTCCATATCGGCCGGGGTCGCTGCGAATCAGACCTGCATATCTGGAGCTATCAGCCTGCTAGCTGTCTTTGACACTCGCTGTTTTAGCCTGGGGTGCCTGAAATGCTCTTTTGACGGCATCGCCCACAGGGTTTGGCCTGGTCCGAGAGAGGCACCATCAGCCAAGCTACTACCATCGCGGGGTTCAGTCCGCACATGGGACGCCGAGAGTCACCTCGCCACCGACCGTGGTGGGTGAGGCGCTCACCTACCTACCTGCCCGCCTCTCCTCATCAACAGGGCAGCAGAAGAAGCAGTCGTGCTGACTGACCCGGGTGTCGCGGGTGAGACGCCGCAGTCTCTCCGTTCCCTTCATCATGGCGTGCATGCATGCAGGCCTGCCTGGCTGCCACGCTGCCTTTCCTACCTGCCGACAGCGGCTCCCTAATGCACATACAAGGAACACACCCGCCGGGGCAGAACGGGAAAAACGCCTCGCCAGTATTGCTTATGCAGATCCTCTTCACCGCACATGGTTTGAGGTGGCACAAACCAGCATATGCTGCATCGGACGCGTCGCAGCAGGATTGGCAGGACGGTCGCATACCGTGCAACTGGGCCCGCAAGCACCCCTCCAGGGGATCAGACCTGACGGGGACCAACAACAAAATCCACCAACAAAAATGCGACAGGGCGAACGCGCGCACACGCAGTCACACTCAGTCCAGTGCTTGCCCAGGCGGGCGGGCCGCGTTGATGATCTGGTCGGTCCGGCAATGTCGAGAAGAGGACCCCTGGGGTGTCCATCTCAGATGTCTCGGATCCCCCCAGCCGATCGCCAAAGCATATCTCGACTCCTTCAGCTGCAGCCTTGCGGCCCTCCCTCTCATTCGTGATATCCCACATGGTCGCATGGTCTACGGTAGCAGCAGCAGTCCACCCGCCCCTCCCCCCGTCCCCTCTTCCGCTCCTCCCATACACACGCGCGCACACACGCCTCCAATCCCAGTCCCAACGGACAGCAAAACCACACATACATCCTACCACAGCTCCACGGCTTGCCGCTTTCGGAACTCCCGCCAGTTGCTGCATTGCTGCTTGCTGCATGCAAGAGACATGCGAAACGCGCCAGCCCGAGACCTGGCTGCTCCACAGAGCGAGCGAGCTGCCTCGTTGCTGCCCTCTCTGATTAATTGCGGCCCAGGGCACAGGAGACCAACATCCCCCCCCCCCAAACCAGCCGCAGCGTTGCTTGCCGGCTCACATCCGCGAGCCGGTCTGCGGACGCGAGGTCGCACGGCAGGCGCAAGGTTTTCACTGCTGCCGTACGCCTGCACGGTGAGAGGGGAGGTGGAGGTCGTGCGATGTGATCTGGCGCAGGCAGCCTGGGTTGTCCGGGGGGTTCCCAACTGTGTGTGTCGCAGGCCAATATCAAAAACGTGGGCAGCCTGTCGTCCTTGCACCCTGTGCTGCGTGTGACGGGTCACACCGTCTACCGAACGCGTGATAACCGTTCTTGTGTGCTCGTGTGTGCGCGCGCGCGCGCGTGTATGTGTTTGCAGCAGCTGGCGAAGTGGCTGGGTGGTTGCCTCCAGATCCTCTCTTCCTTGTTGTCCCCAGCGGCCGTAAGTAGTAATGCCTCGCTGGGTGGTGTGTCTGTGTGGTGGGAAGGCTGTGAGCGAGGCTGACGTCGCAAGAGCGTTGCCCGGCTTGTGAGTGTGAGCGGTGGTTTCCATCGCCGGGCCCGCGGTTAACTGCCCGGCTGATTCTCTCTGGGCTCGGCTGTGCTCCCGCTCGTCCTGACGTTGCACTCGGCCTGAAGCTGTGGGTGGATCTCGCGACGCCAGCGCACAGACCCCTGCGGTGGTAAATGTTTGCCCGCACCAAAGCACGGTCTGGACAACGACGGCCTCGACCTCTGTCGAGGATCGCATTACTGTGCGCATGACAGGGGGGGCCGTTCCTCCCAGATGGCAGGACTTAGTCATGCTTTCATGGGCAGCCGGCAGCCCCGCGAGTCAGGCAGACGACGTGCCCTCATCCGACGACGTCTTGGCGCTGCTGCAGTCCGGCTAGAGGAGGGTCTACCGTCTAAGGCCGAAGCTGTCGGGCACGGCGTTCTCGACGGTCAGAGTTTGACTGATATCATGGGGTTCCCTTGACCGTTCTGGACTTCTGACGCCCGGCCGGCCTGTCCCCCAACTGCTCCATGCACGGCTTTCCGCGGACGGGGCTGACCGAACCAGCCTGTACGTCCGATACTATACCGTACGGACAGCCGGTGTCGACGAGCCCGGGCAGGCCTTTTGGGGGAGCAGCAGGTTGTTCCCACCCTGGGATTGGCACGCCGCACCGTTCCGTGGTCCAGAGTCAAGACGGTGCACCCTTTTCGGCCACCGTCCGAGCAGGCAATTAGCGCATCTATATCCGCTTCAGCAAAAGCTGAGACTAGAGCCCCGAAGTCTTTGCCAATAGATGATGCCAGGTGGGATCATCGTATGAGCAGACACTCTTATAAGTGGGACATAATCCACGGCCAAAGGGGGGCAGTGGCTTGCGGCGACCAGGAGCCGGCCTCGAGGGGGGGGGGGGGCCACAACCGCAGCTCTATAGCAACTGGCCGTGGGCGATATTACTGCTTACCTCCAGTACAGCACTCTCAACCAGGACAGTGCGTGGAGACACAGACGTCGACCAAGGATGGAGTTTTGAGTAAAAGCTGATGCAGCAACTGTCCATTTTGCGTGGTTGGCACGTCTCGCCAGAACCTGTCTGGTCCAATTGTGGGGCAGCCCCAGTCCAGCATCTTTGCCTAGGTTCACGATGGTTTCCGGCAGACAACGATCTGGCTGGATGGGATGGGCCCGATTCGAAGACCAAGATTCCCAACCCCGACGCTTACAAAGCTCTCGGAGCCTATCATCAGGATGTCAACCCAGATGGGAAAGTCTACCGCCCACATGCGAAGTGCCGACGATGGAGGGCCACAAGCTTTGGAGGGGCGCGCCTATGTCAAGTGACTGCTGGGAACAAGATGCTGCGCTGCGTACGCCTTCTCCTCACTCCTCGCGCGACAAGGTAGCCAGGGCCTGTCTCCGGAGTATAGCCTCAGCTACGCCGTCTCACCTTGACCGTCGTCCCATCTTCCCCTTGCTCTGCCAGCTCTGGGGGCGTGAGTGACACATTGGGCCACCTTCAGGCACCTACCAAGCCTTATACCGCACTCCTCCACATTCCGCTTTGGGCACTTACACGCCCACTTCCAGCCTTCCATTGCAAGGCTTCGGAGACCAGGACTGGGCCCGCCTTGTGGGAAGCAACATACCACAGCTTGCCGGGATTCTGACTTGCCTCTCTAATCATTCGAGCTGCAAGGCGGCCTGATCAGCAATTCGGTGTGAAGCAAGAGGAGCATCAAGCAGGGTTTGCTACATCATACGCACAGCTTGGAGGGGGCGAGCTTGATGAACACGAAACAAGTTATGCCACCGCCGACCAGGATCTCCGCTTTCCAACGGCACCCAAGGCCAGATGCGTACGCCCATCGCCTCCGCCTCACGCAAGGCTCCCACAGCCTTATCGGGACACCTACCAGGCTTTACCCGTCCAGATCGCCCGATGACGCGGGCAACAAGAGCGTGATTCCACAATCGAGTCAACCCTCCACCACACCAGAAGCCGAGCTGGATACATTTTTAAGATGAGCGACCGCAGCACCCGGCGCAACCCGAGGAAGAAGTCCCGGTACGAATCAAGCTCAGACGACGGCCACTCAGCAATCTGCTCCGAGAAGGGCGGCGACAGCGACAGCGGCGGGAGCTACGCCCCAGCCAGCACGGCCTCGTCGCGGAGGCGGTCCAGCTCGCGGTCCCATCACCATTCACACCACCACCGCGACCACTCCCGCTCCTCGCACCGCAGCCACTCCCACAGGCACCACCAGCGGTCCCACCGGCACAGCCACCACCACCACCGCCGCCAGAAGCTGCTGGGCCCGGCCGAGGATGGCGAGAAGGCGCACGACGGCGGAATGGCCCTCGCGGTCCGGGAGGACTACCAGGTGCAGACGGTCCCGCGCGCACACCACCGTGGCGACGATTCGGACGACGGGGAGGAGGTCTACGACCACCGGCCCAAGCCGCTCTCGCACCGCGGCCACAGCCACGCGGGCGTTAGTAGCGCCGGCGGTCGCGGCGGGGCGCGGGCCCAGCAGGCCAGCGACGCGGACAAGGGCTTCTTCATGGCTGCCGCGGCGCTAGCCGTCTCGTTGATCATTTGCTGCGGCGAGGCGGATAATGACTGAGGGGGGTGGGGGTCAGGGGGTGCCAGATGCTTTATTCAAAGAGCGAATAAAAGGGGGGGGGTTGGTTGGGGGGAGGTGATGAATGGGATATCTGCACGCGCTCCGGTGACCCTGTGTGGTCTGCCAATGCGAGGTGGTGTAGATATCTCCTGACCCCTTCCCCTCTTCTCCCGGTCGCCGCCCACCAACTCCCTTGGGTAAGTGGGCATGGACGCCCACGGCCTGTGGAGCGCAGTTACGCCCGGGTCTCTCCCATCCGCAAGCGGTCCGTCTACCCCTTGACGGTCTCGTCGACGGCCTGGACTTTAATGCGGATGGCCACGCGAGGTGGAGATCCTGACACGCCGTTGGTTCCTTACAAGCCCGAGCTAGATACGAGGCCCGCTTGGTTTTGGCGCCGCGGCTGGGGCTGGAACGGGAAGGCGGGCGGGCTGGACGACTCCTTGTGCACTGTGACCGCGCTGAGAGAGTGATCTTCTTCAGCTGGCTCGGATTGTCAGCGAGGTACGGGGCCTGATTCAGGTGGATGGCGTGCGAGACACCATGGATGGGGGCCATGTGGCACGCCACGTGGGATTCGCACAGGGGAGTGTTGGCGGCTGAGGAGTCGATGATGTTGGAAGGTCATGGGCTGCACATGTGGAGGGGGGTTTCCTGTCTGGGAGGTGATCAGGACAACGCCTGTCCCGCCAGAGATGGTGAGAAAGTTGTGTCCAATGCCTCCGACTGCCTCCTCAACCCACCAGCCGTCTGTCTGATGGGATATTGGTTTCGAATTGTCCTCTGAGCCGAACGATCGCACTGCATCTATCATACAACACTTTATGAGTGTCCTCACTATCGCTGTTTGGCCCGAAGCTAGAGATATATTCTTGACTTTGCGAATATCATGGGGCTATGTCTGCCTGCGCCTCAAGTCCGGTCATTCATGCCTGGCCTAGGACAGTATCTTTCCCTTCTGTACAGGCCAGAAACGGACGTAGTGCTCCCGTTATTCTCACCAGACCTCTGCGTCACGTCACGTAGTCGCATTATTGCACGCTTGGGGATGATCCGCATTTTACCGCACAACTCTAATCCCCGTACATACACATATATATACACACATACATAGATATACCACAGACGCGCGCTCCCCACAATACATGCCGGGCAAGCACGCGAGGGGGACAACCAAGCCTCGAGCCCTCCCACAGTACCCGCTTCGGGCGGTGGTGGGCACATGGCAGCTCTGGCCTGGTCGGGAGTCGTTGTCGTCGCTGGCGACTCAGGTGCGCCTGCGGGTCTGGTGCGTGCCCAAAAATTGACACATACGGAAATCCCCGGTCCCCCCTCTGTAGCTCCCCCCCCCCAGCCAAATCTCGCTGCCTAAATACAGACAGTGAACTGGGTAGCGAACGCTTGACGGGAGAGACAAAAAAGGCTCGTGACTCGCCGCCGCCTTGGAGAGGGCTATGGGAGGGGGACGGGGGGAGGGGTGAGGATAGATAGGGCTGGGGGAGCGCAGGGAAGGGGGGGAGAGGGAAATGACGATGGCCACTGATGCGCGCAAGGAAGTGAGCGAGTGGCCCACGACGTCAAAGCGGCGGTGTCGTGAGGGCGCAAGGAAAGGACGGGACCCAGTTCTTCCACAGAGAGAGAGAGAGTGCGCGTGTGAGTGCTCGCCCATGGAATTACCGAACTGAGCTTCCCTTGTCCGGAGCTCTGCTGAGCTGGCACGGTGTTCGGCGGTGTGTAGGGGTACCACCGAACAGGGTCGGCGAGATATGGATCGAGATATTAGCTGAGGCGCTTCCTCCCGATGTTCAATTGGTATACATCATTGCAATGACGTAGGAAACTAAATATATCAGGCAAATATCGGGACACCTGCTGGGAGCCTGGATCCCGGAACGGTTGTATTGCTTGATACCTAAAGGTATCCACCGGCGTCCCGTCCCTGAGTGAGTCCAGGTCAAGATCTTCCAGGGGAGAGTGAGTGAACGGTGTGGCTTGGGGGGCGATCAAGCCACAACGATTTACATCCGACCAGAGCAAGTCGGTGACACGGAAATAGGTCGGGCTGGGAGGTAGGTAGTAAGGATGAATGTCTGATGTTACAATTCCTTGCACCACCTAGAGAGTATCGCATTCAGCTTGACGGCCGTGGGAATCTCCTCCAGGGTCACGTCAACCTTGCACATCCGGCCGCCGATGCCGGTTGGCAGGAGCAGTCCTAGTGATACAAGTCGTTCCCAACATATCTCGGCGACGCCTCGGCCCCAGACACGCACTCCTCCCCCGAGCGCCAACATGCCCGAGGTGGCGCTCTGCACCCGCTGCCTTCCTATCAACGTCGTATACTCATCGTAGGCCATTGCGAAGTTCACCGTGTCTGTGTGAGCGACAATGTCGAGACGTGCCGCCGATATGAGGAGGGACAAGTCAAGGTCTGAGAGAGACTCCAGGAGGTAGAGCTTGGAGTCAGGCGGGTCGACAGACGAGCCCGATCCAGGCGTGAATCGCAGGGAGGGGCTGGACGGCGTGAGTGCTGCCAAAGGGAGCACGCAACTATTGAGGAAGGCCGGCACAGACTTGGTGCTATAGTAGTGGTACTCGAGGTGATCCTTGAATGCCTGGTCCTTATAGAGTGCCTCGATGCTTTTGGTCCAGTATTCCTGGAATTTGGTGAAACCCTGCAGAGTCACCGGTAATCCCTCTGCCTTGGCATCCTCGTCCTCGACCATGAGGCCTTGTTTGCACACCGCCCAGTACGAAGGCAGTGTCTTCGGAAGTGACAGATAGACGTAGCGATGGCTGAACCGACTCTTGACACGCTTCTCGAGGCTCTCCACCACGTCAATTCTGTTGGTGAGGCCTAGTACAGCAATGGGTGCTTTCCTCGCCTGAGCTATATCAAAAAGGTTGTAAAGTAGTGTTTGACGGGCGTGAGTAGCGAAGAGGTCGAATTCGTCGATTATGAAGACCACGGATTTTGATGTGACCCCTTCTTGAGATTCTGCAATCTCGGAAGGATGAGATAGAAGTGCGAGCAACGATGCTAGCGTGTCCGCGTAGTTGTTTGTCTTGCCGATGAGGTCGTCCTCGACTTCCATTTCCTTGCCCAGCTGCCGCCATATGTCTTTCAATGCCAATTTGTCGTCCGTGTGGATGAACCCATTGAGCCGCACGACGTGAAACTGATCGCGATGCTCCAGGCCAAGGTCGGACAGGACCGATTCGACCATCGTTGTTTTCCCGCATCCTCTAGCACCGATGACGAGCATCGAGTTGCCCTCGCCAGCCAGGACGGTCTGCTGGACAAGCTGAAACGTCTTCTCGTATGCCTCATCCTGGTCCTGCAGCTTCATCCGGCGCCTCCCGGTGCATCGATCCAACAGAACGCGCTTCAAAGAACTCAAATGCTGCTCAAAGTTCGGAATCTCGGGCGCGGCCTCAACGGTTGCTTCCGGGGTTCTCTGGTCCTTGACCTTCGAGCCGCTCTCTGCTGTGCTGGGCGGGGCTTGGGAGCAGTCTTTGCACAGCCAATCTCCTCGTGGGATTCTGGGTACACCGCACTTTTGATGTACAGCTAGATCACAGCCGTCGCAAAAGAGTATCTGGTTTCCGGTTTTAGAATCCGGCTTGCTGCAGAGAGCGCAAACCTCATCGTCTTCATCATCTGACTCTTCGACTGGTTCCTCGGCTGGTTCATCATCGGGCTCCTCTGGAGCTTTCGTGGGGACCTTGCGAGCCGATTTGGCTGTCTTTGCTGATTTGTCCTCGAAGAAGACCTCTCCATTTTTGGGTTTGTCAAAGGCCACACTCTTGGGGGCTCGCTCACTATGCCTCCTGCTAGGAGTGAGGATGCCCTTCAACTTGGGCTGGGCCTTCGATGGAGTTCGTGTGGCCGGCGTTTCATCCGGGTCATGGAAGTCATACACATCGTCCTTGCCCTTTTCCTTGCCATTCTGCCGATTTTCGTCCGGATTCGGTACATCTTGCGATTTGGTGAGAGGTTGCCTGCCAGCGAGCCGGGGCTTCTTGGATGAGACGTCGGAGTCTTCTTTGCGCGGGCGACCGCGCTTCTTGCTTGGTGCTGCTTTTGGCGGCATGGTTAAGTGTGAGGATGTGTTAATTCACGGAGATGACAGGCAAGGCCACATATAACGTTGTGGGCCTCTTAGCCTGTGTGGAAGACTTCGGGCGGGCCCATGGAAGGAGGAAAAGCGGTTGGATGTTGAGAGACAGAGGCCGATGAATGAGGTCAGCAGGTGCTGTCCCAAAAGCCAAGGCAACAGCAGCGAATGAGAAACACCAATGCCTTGGTTATGCGAACTCCAGTATGCTGCCTGTTCCTAGGGTGCAGGTTGGTAGCCGGTCTAGGTACCCGCGCGTATCGAGCTGTCGCTGAGACGTGATTGAAAAGACGCGACCCGACAGGGAATAAATTGATTTTCAGCCACCGTGACGCACTGTGGCGCAGTCGCACCCCTGAACCATCAATTCAGTGTAAGCCCATGTATGAAGTTCAATGTCGCTGACCATTTACAAAGACGACTTACAAGATACTTGCAGGGAGAATACTCCATTTCTGGATCTCGACAGTGAATTAGACAGGAAGCAGAAACAGAGGAGCCAAGAATTGATTTCCCATTTCCGGACCAGTCGAAGCGCTTCCCCGTCGCTTTCAGGGCCCCTTCGTCCGCTTCCCAAGGCAACGACTAATTACTCCATAAATTCTACATTGATAGCCGCTCATTGCAGACTATGGTGTGCTGATCAGAGTCTGGTACTCATGAGTGGCAAGCAAAAAGAGAGACATACGCAAAATCCCAAAGGGCGGAACTATGTTAAGATGTCCATATTGACGCAGAAGTTGCCTATAAAACAGATGGCCTTCTGGTACAGCATTTCCAAACGAGCAAAAGTTATGCTCTCATCATTCCTCGCCATCGCAGCAGCCACATGGACGCAATGCCCGCCTTAACTCCGCTACGCCGTTCCCCAACGATTCATTTTCCATGCTCTGACATTTGGTAAAAAGCCAAACGTCATGCGGGTATTCATTCGACTTCGAAATGCAGATAGCTCCTCTATCGGGATCACGAATCAATCTGCATCGTATCGTCTCCATCAAAAGCCTGTCCCTGTGGTTCAACTGGGACGCCTCTGCCACGGCCTGCAACCAGCTCCCTCCTAATCTCGGGCCCAATCGCGGAGTGGCCGTGGGTGAGCAGCAAATCTAGTAGGGCCTGCAGAGTGACAAGTCAGTATTCAGTGGGAAGTCAAAGACTCATGCTGAGTCGGGTTGTAAAGCCGTTTTCCAGAGGTGTGGGGGGGGGGAAGGGGGGGTCGGGAAGCCGCATCCTGTACAAATGCTTCAAAGGCTGCACCGTACGTACCTCTCGTTGGTCCTCATTTATATCATTCCGGTATCTCTGAGCGAAACTCAGCAGGCACTGATGCCACAAGACAGGCAGTTGCCGCATCATCTTGGCTTCTGATGGCCTCTCCATGGCCTCGGCCTCCTTCACGGCCGCAGGATCAACTGACCTAAACCGCAGGAAGAAAAACACCAGCGCGTCGATGACCTGGTACGGCAATGCTAGTCCCTTGTCGAGCAGGACCTTGATGAACACGTTTGTGCTGGCGGCATTCTCGCCGTTGGAAGCTTGCTGCGCCGCCAAGTCGCAAAGTCCCTTGAGTCCTGCTGCGGAGTGCAGGATAGGAATGGATACGCGGGCCATGACGGAGGAAACAATGTGAGCCTCGCGCAATGTGCATGTCCCCGAACCGACAAGGGGGAACAGGATGCCTTTGAAGAAGGCGGATGGCTTGTATAAACTCTTCTTGAGCGAGTTATAAAGATGGACGTTCCTGCGGCATCAGGCGTCAGCAATGGCGAGTTTGGAACCGAAACAATCCAGAAGGATTTCGGTGTAATGGGGCAAACAACGCCTCAAGTATGCACTGACAGCTTCTTAGTTTCGTAGATTTCATCTCGCACCCGAGGCAGCACCACTATCTCGAGCCATCGTTGGACGACGGCTGGCTTCGCAGAGGCGAAGATTCGAGTCAACCCATAAATCGCATTCGGAGTCCAGTTCTCAGGTTGAGCGACCTCAATGATCCTCTCCCAGTCAGGCACTGTCGGCAGAATCTTCATAGGTTTCGGAAGGGGGCCGCTCTTCCAGCGGCTCAGGATCATGCCACACCTGTGTAATCGTCAGTATGATGGCTTTCTCTCGCATTCTGTAATGACAGATTGAAGACGCACTTCGCATAGACCTCAATGACTTTGGGGTGTAGATCTTCCTCGGCAAAGTCTTCCACGCCACCCATATCCTGTTGGTCGCCTCCGCCAGATTCGAACGCCTGGATTTTCTCCATGATCAGGTCCGCCAGGTTTGTCCCTCCTTGTTGCTCCTCGCCATCGGCGGGTTTGCGATCCCAGCCGTGCTTCAACAGCGGGTCCTCGTCTGCCGTGAGGAACTTGTTGAACATGGCCAAGTCTTCGGGTGCGATCTCGGCTCCTTCGAGATCGATCTCCTCTTCCTCTTCTCCCCATGCTTCCTCATCCTCGAACTTGTTCTCGTCCTTGTCGTCCTCTTGCGCAAATCGCGAGTCGACATCGAAGGCGCTCTTCCGCGCCTCCCCGGCAGGCTTGGCTTGCTCATCGTCCTCGTCGGCAAGCTCTCGACCCAGTTGTAGAATCCGTGCTGATTGTTTCGAGTTGACGAAGTGGTCCTCGCTCTTCTCCTCCTTCGTCTTCTTTGCCGTCTTCCCGGATCTCAGAATCCCGCTGCCTCCGAGGATATCGGCCTCGAGAGGGTTGTGGCGACGGCCTTGGCGCTCGGCCACAGGTGTCGTGGCTTTAGGCATTTCGAACGGAGTGTTTTGTGATCTCATAAGATTCCTCGAAGTTCAAGGCGGGGAGTTGTGGCATATAACGAAGAATTGGGTTGGATGAGGAATTTCTAGCAAAAACTTGACCGACTTCCTTTCCTGATTTAGTTCTGCCACTATCGCGCTATCGATAAGGCTATCAACCGCCCCCACCAAGTCCACCTTGGGACCAAGCTGGGCGTTTTCCCTACCTGCCCCGCCATCACATGTAGGTATCCCTTGCCAACTTTCAAGGTTGTAAGTGGGCGAGTTCTATTCAAAGCTTTTCTAGGTACACAAAAACAAAAAGTCGACATCCTGAATTGCTTGAACATGCCCACAGAGCTTGAAGAGGTGTGTGTGACCCTATGAGCCTAAGCAGGAGAACCACACTGATTTTTCATCAAGCTTGTCGGCTTCATCGCCAGCCCGAACCCACAAATTAGGGCGGTCGCCGTAGAGAACCTCGTTGGATACTCAACAGCGCAACCCTCAATTTTCAAAATCAACCAACTGGTCCCAGTCAAGAACCTCAAGGTTCTGATCCAAGACCGCCCAGTACGTGATGTGCTCTGTGGGTCACTAAGGAACCACCCAGTGTACTGACCGGCTGCCAGCAAATCGCCCAACATGCCCTGACGATATTAGTGAACATTGCTGCCGATTCCGAGGTCCTCAACTACTTGGCGTCGGATGACAAATTTCTGGATGTCATTTTCTCTCGAATAACGGTACGCCACTTACTCAGTCTATGTCAAGCCGCGCGGGCTGAACACTGTGAATGCGCCGGCTGAGGGACTCCCTGGTCGCCACGTTCTAATGCAAGAAGCTGCCTAGAACCCTTCGGAGCCTGGTGCAAATCTTTTGGCAATGCTGCTCGCGAATCTGGCCAAGTGGGACGGGCTGAAAAATATTGTCAACCGGAAGCAGAAGGCGCCCGAGGGCCTGGCATCTGACGATCTGGTTCTGAACCAGCTGGTCGATCTCTTCGTCAAGGGCGCCGATGGTTCTTACAACAAGGATGCCGACTACGACTACCTTGCATATCTGTTCGCTGACCTCGCCAAACACCAAGAAGTCAGGCAGTATTTCGTCAAGCGGCAAGAGTACGATTCTGTGATCCCTTTGACGAAACTCAAGGTCTTCACCGAGCACAAGTCTGACATCAGACGCAAAGGAGTGGCAAGTACCATCAAGAACGTGGCTTTCGACGTCCCGTCACATCCTCTATTCTTCTCCGAGGATGAGATTCACATTTTCCCGTATATCCTGCTGCCGATCATGGGCAGCGAAGAGTACGATGAAGACGACATGATGGCGATGCTACCCGAGCTGTCATTGTTGCCACCTGACAAGGAGCGCGATCACGATAGCAGCATCATTCAGACACACGTGGAGACCTTGATGCTCTTCACTACGACTCGGCAGGGGCGGGACCTGATGAGAGAGATCAAGGTCTATCCCATCGTCCGAGAAACACATCTGCGCGCCAAGGAAGAGAGCGTGAAGATGGCCTGCGAGCGACTAGTCCAGGTCTTAATGCTGGATGATGAGGTCGAGGATGATAGCGCACGTGTCGTAGAGCTGGACGACGACGAAGACGACGAAGACGGGAAGATCGTCGAGGTATAATCATCAAATTAAGCCAGACGGGCTCACGCAAGCTTCGGATAGTGTGGGAGCCTTGAGACCCGGTGTCTGCAATAGTACACCGACTGTCATGCACGACCTGAGGCGCGGGAGAGACGTGGCCATGAATTCATCACAAACGAATGAACGCCATTGCCGCGGATAATATCGACCGCGCTTGCGTTGACTTCAGCCCTGGCCGACATTCGCGACTCCGTGCCATGGACTGGGACCCAGACCGACAACGTGATGAATGCGGTCCGACGCTTGATTAGCGGCAATTTGGGGCTCGTTCTGGAAGTGACACCACTGCTTCTCCCGTCACGAGAGGGTCGGACGGCGTGGTAGCTGGTCTTCCCATTACCCGGTACACTTTGTCGCACTGGCAGATCGTGACAGGTGACATAAGAGGCCGAGGTACCACGCTATAGAAGCAATGAAGCCACAAAGTACAAGATCCATGATCGCCAAAGCATGAACTAGTGCGTGGGGCAGCGCACGAGAGAGGGTACCCTTGGACGACTGGCTCGATCCGGCAGCTTGGGACCACAGGGGAAACGTGACGCTGTCCGTCGCTGCGGTTGGTCGAGCAGAATTTGCTCTGAACCCTGTTGTTACAGTACTGATCCCCGTCTCGAAGATCCATCCCACTGCAGTTACGAGACGGTCGCGGTGGAGAAGAAGGTAGTCTTTTAAGATTCGAGCCCTGCAGCTGCCTCGTGGTCTCTGCCGCGTCTATGTCATGCTCGTGCATATAGATAGACATGCGGCTCTGCGAACACGTGGCTCTAGTGGTGTCTTCATACCATGGCAGATCCATTGCCAATGTCTTGGGCAGTCTTGGAAGTAAGTCTTGTCGATGCTTGTCGATGCTTGTCGATGCTTGTCGATGCTTGTTTCTTCCACCAAGCCGGCAGCTTACAGCTGGCTGTGGGCGACTAATACAGATGTGACAGGGTGTGTGCGCCCGATGCGTCTTGGCAGTTGGCTCTTGGCAGGAAGGACAGCCGGCCTGGCCACCCTCCTAATTTCGAGCCGAAGGACTCGAGACTCGAAGAATCTCAAATCGTTGCTGGAGGGAGCTGAAAGACATGTCGTCGGAACAAATAGTGGGGGTCTTGTGCCGTCCTATCATCGAGCGGGAAGAGCTCCCTGCATTGGCCAATAACAGCCGCCGATCGCAGAACGTGGGCCACTTACACATGCCAATTCGTGCGGAGGGCGGCCCCCAGACTGGACCCCTGCCAGTTCACACAACGGTCCCAACTCTTCTTTGAGCCTCGCGTCCCCGATTCCATCGAAGCTTGACGACGCCCCGCCGCCTTGGGCTAAATCGATGGAAGGGCCCACCGACGGCGGCGTCCTTGGCGCATGTTGAACTCCTTGCCGCCAGTCTGGCTGACCTTCAGAACCTGGCTTACACAGGGTCAGGACACTCGTGCCGTTGGTGGCTACCCGCGATAGGAGTGTTTGCCTGTCGGGACTGTCCCACGAGAGACACATGCTCTGAATGATTGGAAGCGACCCATGCACAGCATCCCAGCCCCCTACGGATTGGCCGCTCGATGGTGAGACCAGATGATTGACGAAAGGCGTTCTGTCAGCCTGGACGGGTCGTTCGTCTTGACCATCTGGGCAGTTATGACAGGTGAGAGTGACGGCCACAGCTTCACTCCATCGACCAGGACGGCACAATGCGAACCACCTCTGGTCAGTGGATCGAATGTGTAAAAATGCTACATAGGTATGCATGTGTGGTTCCTAGTGTGGCAAGAAGACTCCCGTATTATTGTGGAAGGATTGGGCTGGAACATCGCGGATGTTGCTCAATGTCTAATACCCGCCAATCACCGCACACAAACGGTACCACGGCCTGTCAGAGACACCGAGAGGAAAGCGTATCAATCTCGGGCAACCGATCCAGGGCACCAGTGAGGATGGGCCGTCCCCGTCCTTCCCTATTGCGACCACCGACCGAAAGCTTCTAGAGCTGGAACCAACCGCGCCATTTCTCAACAGGCATCCCTTCACTTCAGACCGAAGCTGGGCCGAACTGCAGAGCATGGACCTGTATCAGCCTTTTCCTCGACCAGGGATTGCGCCGAAGCTACATGTGCCTCAAGTTAGGCTTTTCAGTCGTGGACGGTGAGTCAGGCGAACAGACTCCATAGCAAAGCCAGCGCCATTGAACGCCTAGTGGACGACAATGTGAATCGTGCTGGGTCAGCCGTTTGCTTCTGATTTGCTGACCTGTTGACGGACGCTCCCATACGCACGAGATCAGCCTTGGGTATCCGGTCCAGTCATGTTGGCAGGGTAGGGTAGTCTCTCTTTCACCAGCATATCTGGTAGCCTAGAGAGACTAGACTACCAGGACTACGGAGGGGTACGTACTTTACAAGGGATGGAATGTTCCTCGTTACATGCAGACACGTACCTTTTCCCCAGGGACCTGCGCATCTGAATATTAAATTGCGAACCTTGTCCACCTCAGCTGCAGCCAGCACGCCTTGCGCGCCCTCTCTCTCTGTCTTTAACCTTCCAACCTCATAAGGCTGTCGTCTTTTTCCCTGAGGGCACCTTGCAGATCAACCGTCTCATCTGCATCTCAATTCGGCTCTCACCATACACCACAATCCCAAGTGGTGTTGTTCATTCACACGAATCAGTCGGCAAAGACACGAACCTTCGCACACCATGGCCGAGACCGTGCAGTCCCGAGCCGTCGATAAGACGTCGGGTGGAAATGCGGCCTACCACAATTTCCACAACGACTTCCTCCATGTCCAGGACCCCAACGAGCGTCGTCGTCTTGCCCTTGCAGAGATCGACAAGGCCCCTTTCGGATGGTACCATGTGAGGGCTATCCTGGTCGCAGGCGTGGGCTTCTTCACAGACTCGTACGATAATACCTCCCCTTTGCTACCTGATGACCGATGAAGAAGCCAACCACGTTTTTTCTCTCTCTAGCTATGATATCTTCGCAGCTTCACTCCTCACTCTGATGCTCGGTGTTGTCTACTATCCCGGTGTGGGCAAGATGCCTGTCAGCTCTGACACCGCGATCAAGCTGGCTACTAGTGCTGGCACTGTCATAGGCCAGTTCGGCTTCGGCACTCTCGCTGATATCGTACGTCCAATGGATCCATCCCTGTTGCTTGTGACGGCTCGTGCTTACGGTTTGCTTCGCAGGTCGGTCGTAAGAAAATGTATGGTCTGGAGCTCATCATCATCATCTTCTCGACGGTTGCTCAGGCCCTTACCAGCAACTCTCCCTCCATGGATGTGTACGTCTTTAAAATGCTCTCCGGCCCAATGACTTTCTCATCTCTAACTTACACATCTTCGGCGCAGCATCGGACTCATCATCTTCTGGAGAGTGCTCATGGGAGTCGGCATCGGTGGTGACTACCCCTTGTCGTCCATTATCACGTAAGTAAATTCCGGATATTTCCATCATTTTAAGAAGAAACCTCTGTAATCTATGGCCTATTTCACTCTTCGCGTTGAAGCCTCTTGGAAGGCTGCAGCTCTCGAAACAGGCTATGGGCCTATGATGACCGACTTCTATGTTGCTCCGGATGATACTTCTTCCTTGGTTCTTCGATAGCTGACTCTAAATTAAACGCTTAGATCCGAGTTTGCGACAACCAAGTGGCGAGGAGCAATGATGGGCGCGGTCTTCGCTATGCAAGGAATTGGCCAGCTCGCGGCCGCCTTTGTGATGCTGTTCGTTACCCTCGGCTTCAAGGACTCTCTCGAGACCTCCACCAAGCTGGCAAACTGTACTGGAGACTGCGCTGTTGCCGTGGATAAGATGTGGAGAGTTCTCATCGGGTTTGGAGCTGTCCCCGGTTGTATCGCTCTCTACTTCCGGTTGACTATCCCTGAGTAAGTCCAGCTGCTTTTGATTTGTCTTGATTTATGATTTGTGGCTAAGACGTTGTGGTATCTAGGACTCCTCGATATACTTTCGACGTCAAGATGGACGTGGAGAAGGCCGACGAGGACGCCAAGCTGTACGTCAGCGGCAAGAGGGGTGAGGCATCTGTCGACGAGGTCGCCCGGCTGGCTGCTCAGAAGAATGCCAATGAGAACATGAAGGTCGAGAAGGCCAGCTTCAAGGACTTCATGCGTCACTACTCCATCCCAAAGAATGGGATGCTCCTCGCTGGGTAAGCCCTTCGCTTCCTGACTTGTAGTCCACTCAGAACTCCCGACTAACTGTCCACAGCTGTGCCCTCTCCTGGTTCTTCCTCGATGTTGCCTACTACGGCCTTTCTTTGAACAATGCCACCATCCTCACCGCCATCGGCTACTCGACCTCACATGCTAAGACCACTTAGTAAGTCCCGTCTTCCTGCGACCTCTACAGTGGTTCAAGGGCTGTCACTCCCTCAAATTGCTTTACTAACACCCGGCAGTGAGATCCTGTACAACACCGCTATTGGCAACCTGATCATCGTCCTCGCTGGCGCCGTTCCCGGCTACTGGGTTACAGTGGCGACCGTCGACACCCTCGGCCGCAAGCCCATCCAGCTTGGTGGCTTCATCATCCTCACGATCCTGTTCATCATCATGGGTTTCGCGTACGAGAAACTCGGCCAAAACGGCCTGCTCGCCATCTACGTGCTGGCCCAATTCTTCTTCAACTTCGGGCCCAACTCGACGACCTTCATCGTCCCCGGCGAGTGCTTCCCGACGCGATACCGCTCCACGTCGCACGGCATCTCCGCGGCATCGGGCAAGATCGGCTCCATCATCGGCCAGGGCGCCATCGCGCCGCTGCGGACCCGCGGCGCCACCAAGGACAACGCCAACCCGTGGCTCAACCACGTGCTCGAGATCTTCGCGCTCTTCATGCTCTGCGGCGTCTTCTCAACGCTGATGATCAAGGAGACCAAGCGCAAGACCCTCGAGGAGCTCGCCGAGGAGGACGACTACGCCACGCGCGGCTTGCCGTCGCATGCCGGCTCCGGGGAGGGGGTCCTAGAGAAGGACAGGGACGCGCGGACCCCCGAGGAGAGCGTCTAGGCAGATAGATATAAGAAAAGGCGGGACGTTTCTCTGATTTCCTTTGGTGGTGGAGATACGCGGATAGACCATGTGCACTGGCGGTGGTGATGTAATCTTTCTCTCAAAAATACCCTGTTTTGTTTGTCAATGCGGCATATTTGCATATAATAGATTGCGAGATGGCTTTGACTGCCGTATCATCCAAGCTCCAGGCCCGCCCGTCCGCCACATGTGTGTCGCCTATGGCTTGCATCCATGCAAGTAACAACAGCCGTTCAAACATCGATTGACCTCGCCCAGGCTGCCAGGCTAGTACCAATTGCCTGGGCCGCCCGCTGCCGCGCGCTGGAAAACCGGGTTGCCAACCGGCATGATGAGTTCCCACCCCGGCCCCCCCCTGGTCGCCGGCACTTTCGGCTGACCGGGAAAGCAAATACCCACGCCTGTCGGGGTTTGCGGGTTGCAGTGATCGGTCGGTGAGCAAGCAAGTCAGAGCCGGGCTGGATTAACCAATCCTCGGCCCTCCAACCTTCTCCACGTCAGCCCAGTTATCGCAGCTGGGTTTTATATACGTGTTGAGGTGGTATCGATCCGACGTCCCAAGACCAGCACCCTGGTCATCAGCCCACCGGCGGATTGGGACGACACAGCCTGCTCAGCTCAGCTGCTGCTTCCTTCACTACGGTAGTAGGGACCAAGAGGATGGAGACACGGGAGATCGAGTCTGGCACTGTTCTCTGCTCGCTCTGTGAGCCCTCGGGGGGCAGAAATTGAGCCCGGGAAGCTTTCTACGCCCAGCTGTCGTGACGACGGTGTAAAGTATCAATTTGTCTTTTCTTTGACTCGTTGACTCTCGTTTAGACAGATGAGGCGCGTGCGGATAGGTCGGATGGTCGGTAGTGAGATTCTTGTATCACCCACATCGCACAGTTGCGGGCTGAATCGCCAGCTCATGAAATCCTATGTTTGGCGACCTTGTTTTGAATGGTGGTATGAGAGGATTTCATCATTCATCCCTGCCGGTGGTGGCATCGCTGGAAAAACCCCTCCAAGTAGTCTAGATATACAGGTTTGCAGAAAAGGGGGTGATAAAAAAACTATCATGACCTGGCCCATCATAGGGCGCCATTTAAGCCATTGACACCGTTGACGCCGTTTACCCCGTTCACCCCGTTGACATCAACAAGACCCGCGAATATCTCGTCAAATTTCTCGGCCGCATCCCGCACGCAGTCGTGGCCGTAGATCATCTTCTGCACGTCCGGGCTGGCCCACTTGTCCGGGACGGCGCCCTTCTTGTCGCGGTGCTCGCGGAACTGGCGGTCTCGCTCCTCGCGGGCGGCGCCCTCGCCGAGGTGCAGCTGGCGGCCCGAATAGGCGGCCATGTCGACGAGGGTGGTGCAGCGGTCCTTGCGCAGGACCTCGTAGGCCTTGAGGGTGCGGCTAATTGTGCGGGGCCGTGTGTCCGGCACGCGGCTCAGTACCTCGGCCAGCACGGCGCCGTCCTCGATGGCCATGGCGGCCCCCTGCGACAGGTGCGGCAGCGTCGGGTGGCAGGCGTCGCCCAGCAGCGCCACGGACCCCAGGCTCCACGTCGACAGCGGCCGGTGCTGCCGCAGCTTCCACTCGCAGACCTCGCCGTCGGGCACGAGGTCTAGCATGCGGTGCACGAGTGGGCAGAAGGTCTCAAAGACCTTGACCATCTCGGGCTTGGAGCCCTTGGTGGTGTAGGTGGCCGAGATGCCCTTCGCGAAGTTGTCGTCGGGCTGGGCACTGGACAGGTTGTAGATGGTCTTGTTGGCGACAGGGTAGGCGATGATGTGGCGCTTCTCGCCGATCCACCTCACCACGCAGTCGCTCTCGAGCAGTTCCATCATCTCTGGGTCGTGCTGCATATCCTCGCGCTTTAGCATGATGCGGTAGGCCGCCTGGCCCGTGTCGGCCTCGCCAAACTCCTCGCCCAGATGCGACAGGATGGCGCGCCGCGTGGTGGACTTGATGCCGTCGGCGGCCAGGATGATGTCCGCCTCGGCCTGGTAGGCGTCCCCCTCGCGCGGCTGGACCGTGAAGGTGGGCCGCGGGCCGAACGAGTCGATGCTGGCGATCTGTGACGAGAACCTGAAGCGGATGGCGGGCTCCTTCTTGCAGCCGTTGTACATGCCACCGGCGAGGGACGACCTATGACCCGTGCAATGTGGGTATCCGTACTTCTCCTCGACATCGGGCATCTCGACGTGGGCTAGTTCTTGATCTGTGCTGCCCTCTGTGGGATCACATCTCTCGTCAGCGGACGACCCCACCGTCTCCAGGATGAGCATCCCAGCCATGCGCTGTACACTCACGCCTTATGCTTGTCTCCTTGACATTCGTGGCCTCTGCGTAGATCTCCTGCCAGCAGCCTAACCGGTCGAGGATGCGGTTCATGTTGGGGGCTAGCTGGATTCCGGCCCCGACAAATCCCAGGTTTGAAGCATTCTCATAAACAGTGATGTCCTGGAAGCCTTTCTTGGCGAGGGCCAGAGCGCATCCCAGGCCGCCCATGCCTTAAGTCGACACCAGTGTCAGTACACATTTTTCGAAGTGCCCAGGGTGAGTGTGTGCAGGGCCGCCCATCACACCAGGTCGAAGATTGGCAACCTACCAGCGCCGAAAACGGCTATTTTGAGGTCGAATCTGTCCCCCATACTATATGAACCCATCCTGCTAGTGTCGGGAGTGAACGAGAGAGAAAAGGGAACAAGACGGGAGACGCGAAGGAAAGGAAGTCGGTTTGCCCAGGAGGAAGGAGATAAGCCACTTGATAGGCGCATGGAAGTGGAAAGCTGGGCGATCTGGGAGATCCAAGATCTTATGTGGCGTAATAGAGCGGGAAGGGGGCAGGCCCTTGGGAGGAGCGTGGGCTGCGGGGAGGTAGACAGGTACAGGAGGAGTAGATATACATATGGCCTATTGTCCACCCGGTCACAGGTCACAGGAAGGCAGGGAGAATAAGAATAAAGTGCAGCCTCTCGGGTTGGGGGGCGGGTAAATCAGCAGCAGCTGGACCGGACGTGATCCCAAAGAGGACGTGGACTGCCGGGCCTAATAATAAGAGCAACGAGCAGCCGACCAGCGTGGCCGACCAGCGTGGCCGACCAGCGTGGCCGACCAGCGTGGCCCGCTGGTCGTCCATATTATTATTCCCCCCAGATCTGTGGGCGCTCGGGATGGGCATCTGCATCTGCACTGGTGCTGTACATACTGGGCTGGCAGGCGGGCGCCTCGCACCCTGCACCCTGCGCCTTCGTCCCTTCGCGCCTCCCAATTGACTCGACTGCAGACTGCGTGCGCCGGGAATGGTGGGCAGAGAGGGAAGTGGAAGTGCAGGTGGAAGCGGACGTCATGCCCAGCAGGCGCTGGCAGGGCGTTGCGTAATATCTCGGCAGCTACATCTCGGGGCCGACCGCCTGGGAATGATGCGGGGAGTGGCCCCCCAAAGAATGCCCCTCGGTGGGCAAGGTGGACAAGATGGACAGGCGCTGGGCGGGCCGTAGCCAGGGCTCTGTGGAAGGGCGCGCGCCTTCTGGGGTGTCTACCACAGTATCCAGGCAGAGGGGGGGGGGGCAGAAAAAGAAGAGCCGACAGAGTTGATACTAGCATGCTGGCCCCACGGTCCATGATCCGATGTGCAGACTATATACGTGTGCTAGCGATCAATGTGTTCCAGATTGGGGCAGTCATCCATCGCTGCTGGGGCCAGGAGAATTAGTTGTACCGCCTCGGCGCTTTCTTTTGCAGCAGACCAGAAACACCAGAAGGCCACACTTCTGGTGGCCTTGGGACGCAAGCATCGGCCCGCTGTCATGTGCCCAGCGCAGTCATCCATGCCTCGTGTTATCTGCCGTGTCTGCTCGTCCAGCGCAGCAGTTATCAGTGTACATTAGTACCTACCTGGATAGACCAGTCAGACCTCGCAGCATCTGCATGACGTGACAGCCGGGCCTCGCCCTCCCCACGGCTGAATCATCCTCGGTGGAATATAGCAGCACATGTAATAGCAGAGCACGTACAGCATTGCAGCCCGACACTCTGGGAGGCTAGACACCTTTCGGCAAACAGGGCAACAGGGCCGCAGCGGCCGAGGATAGATAGGCACATGGGGCCCACCTGACCGGCCTCGCCGGCACCCGATCTCTGGGTTCTGCACCCTCAGGCACCACCTCCGGGTCGCGCTCCCGGCTGTGTGGTAGCACTGCAAATGACCCAGATTGGATCTCTCGATGCTACGACGGAGGGACTTGCGCGGCACAGAGAGCACAAATCACGGGCAACCACTGTCAGCCAGTCCACAGCAGCACCACCAAGCAACACGGCTCAGTCTGCTGGATTGTAGCCGTGTGTGTGCCCCACTACAAGTTTCATTCGGCAACACACCCCGCTGTGTAAGGTATCCTGTGTGGACTGCCATGCTGGCGATCTGCTAATCTAGTCTCCTGTGCCACGCACTATAGGTGCTACTGCATGGTATATCAATGGGGTAATCATCTCCACCTCCGATGCATCTGACGCGGTGAACACGCCGTGGTGCCGTGTCTGCCGTGCTGCCGTGCGGACAGAGAAGAGACGACCTCACAGCCTGCCGAGAGCATCTGGTGACTTGGCACGACCATGTCCTTGTGTGCAAGCAGCAACACCTCTCGTGTACTCGTCTCGAGATAGCCCTCTGACAACGGGATGATTTCATCCCAAAGGTCACCCAATGCAAATCGCGTGTCGTCAGCGAATGATGATGCGACCATCCATCCACACCAGATCCACTGCTCACTGGACATTCAACGAATCATCAGTCAATCCAAGCCCGACCCCAAGCCTTAAGCGCGCGTGTATGCGAAGTTGCCAACACGAGCGTGAATACGGACAAGAAGGATGGACGCGATACGCAATCGAGAATGAGCGATGGGCAGTGCACGTGGGCGGCACGGCGCGCTGCCTTTGTTATGCAAGCTGCGAACCCCCTTTCGCTCAGGCCGGGCGTGCAGGGCGTGGTGACGGAGCTTATTCATCCTCAGGCCCAATGTAGGATCCATCTCATCTCAGAACCTTATCTCCACCTTGTGGTCTGTGAGATGCAGACATGCACAGATCCTGCGCCTGAGCATCGCTTGTGGCCAAACGATGGCGCGGCCTGCAGACGCGAGCAGAGGGTTGTGAATGTGAGCCGCGGACGGTTGGCTGGTCTCGACTGGTCTTGACAGAGGGCCAGGTGTCGCCGTGTCACAGACAGAGCACACAGGAGCACCTGGTCGCACAACGGTTGGACCAGACGGGCTCTGCCGTTCGATTCGCAGTGGGCCCGTCATTAACGTTCTAGCCGCGCCGCCCAATCACAGCCAGCTGCACAAATTTGGGAGGCCTGGATCGGCCGCGGCGAGCATTCTGACCGTCTCAAAGGGGGCAATGGACCTGCAGCCACTGATGTCACAAAGGTCCAGGCGTGTCCCTTGCCAGCGCCCACGCCGGCCTGCATTCACCAATCGCCGCGTCCATGGGCTGCTGGCGAGCCTCTGGCTAAGCCCCAAGATAGTCGCCAAAATCCAGTTTTGTTTCACCTAAGGCGACAATCGCTATCAACTCATCTTCAACCCAACTCTATGACTAGTTCGCCCGCGTCCTGTTCTCCCCTTGGTACCTGTCCCCTCCCTGCTTCCTTCCCGTCCATAACTTCCCTGTTATAGTTGGCGCTAGAGCAGAGCTGGCCCTCTCCTCCTCCCACACGCCAGCCCATTGTTCTCGACCTATTCCTGTAAATTCGCCCTCCTTCGAAATCGCGTCCCACGCTCTACAGTCCGGGCCAGGACACGGTACGGCACGACACACGACAAACGCACACGGGGCTTTTGTTCTCTTGGGGAGTGCTTGCACATTGTCTGTCGACAACACCGCCGTGACTGACCACTAAATACTCGTCAACGCTCCACCTCCTCCACCAGCTTGACCAACGCCCGACGACAATGTTGCTACTCGCCTGACCATTACTCCCACGATTCGTCACCCCGATCCTAAGCCTCCAGCATCACCATCTCTACATCCCGAAAAACATCCTATCGCTCTTGTAGACTACTGGGTGCAGTTTGTAACCGTCCCGCAAAATGTCGGACCCCTTGGCCAATCTCACCGACCCCAACCAGGGGGCCGCCCAGTCGGTTTCCGGCCAGGGCCTCGAGACCTTCCTCGCATCTGTGGGCGTCTCCGTTGCTGTGGCCTTTGTCCAGGTCTCCTTGTTCCTGCTACTCAGGAACAAGATCGCCAGAATCTACAAACCAAAGTCCTTCTTGGTGCCCGAGAGGGAGCGGACGTAAGTTGACCCCTTGCCGTTGTGGTAGAGTTGTGCCTCTGTTTACTGACCTCCTCCCCCGCAGCGACCCTCCGCCTGTCAGTCCCTGGTCGCTCATCAAGACCATAATGAACTTTAGCGACAGAGAGGTCATCAAGAAATGTGGCCTGGACGCCTACTTCTTCATGAGGTACCTCAAGACCCTCTTGGTCATGTTCATCCCTCTCGCCTGCGTCATCCTGCCCATCCTGTTGCCCGTCAACTTCATAGGCGGCTACGGCAACAACCTGTGGACTAACACCACCGACGACGACCCCACCAGTAACACCACCGTCGTCGGTCTCAGCACCCTGTCATGGGCCAATGTCAGGCCCGAGAACGCCGACCGTCGCTGGGCACATCTCATGCTGGCACTCTTGGTCATCGTCTGGGTCTGTGCTGTCATATTTTCCGAGATGAGAGTCTACATCAAGGTGCGGCAGGACTGGCTGACGAGCGCGGAGCATCGGTTGAGGGCTTCTGCAAACACCGTGCTCGTCTCCTCCATCCCGGAGAAGTGGTTATCTGAAGAGGCATTGCGGGGACTGTTCGACGTTTTCCCAGGCGGAATTAGGAACATCTGGCTGGTAAGGGCTGTCCGCTCCAGTTGCTGTCTCCTGGCTTACATAAATGTGTAGACACGCGACTTTTCCCCACTGCTTGAGAAGATTAAAAAGAGAGAAGAGATCCATCTCATGCTCGAGAGCGCAGAGAGCGACCTGATACGCAAGTGCAAGAAGAACCAGCTGAAGAAGCGCGACCAGGAAGAGAAGAAAAGGCGGAAGCAGCTCAGGACGAACAAGCCTACCAAGGCCGAGAGACTGCAAAGGCAGAAGGATGAGGATGACGAGGCCAAACGTAGAGCCGAGACTGAACAAGGCATCAGCTACGGCGATCACGAAGAAACCCCTCATAATGCGGAGCAGGTTGCCGCGGAAGGCACCGAGACTAACGAGATCGAGCCTCACGGGAATGGTGGACAGACGCTGAACCCCTTCGCTGTCCTGGATGGTGGGATATTGAAAGTTGGGCAAGGCCTCAAGGGCGGCGCGAACAAGCTTGGCCGAGCTGGTGCTGGCATAGTAGGCGGCATTTCGGCTATTGGCCAGGGTGTCGACAATGAGCTGGAGAGAAGTGGCGGTTTCCATTTCGTCACGACCGAGCCCGGGCCCTCAGCAAACTCACAAGCACGAGCCGACGACCGCCCCAACGCACCGACAGACAGACGTGTGCAGATACTGGTTGAGGAACCAAAGGAATCGTTTGCCTCGGAACGCAGCCAGACCCCTTCTGAGCCTTACGGCAAGGAGTCCATGCAGCAAGAGCTTCAACCCAAGCACTTCGGCAACACTGTCCGCAAATTAGAAAACGTCGAAGACCTGTATGACAATGAGGAGACGCGGTGGTGGCAGTTCTGGAAGCCGCCTTCTGGAGGTTACGCCTCACCTGTCCCTCAAGGTGCCGAGAACAACGAGTACCCATTCACCGACAAAAGATCGCTATGGACCAAGATCAAGCAGAACATCCCTTTCATGGGCGATGAAGAGGAAAAAATCGAGTATCCCCCGTTTGTCAACGACGGGCAGGAGGAGGACTACCAGGAGAGAGAAGGCGCCGAGTGGGAGAAATGGATCAAGCCCAAGGACCGCCCTCATCATCGACTTGCTATATTCGAGTGGACGCCGGGTTGGCTGCCGGGACTGCCTATGCTGAACAAGAAAGTCGACACGATCTACTGGTGCCGGAAGGAGCTTGCTCGCTGGAACGTGGAAATCGAGGAAGACCAGAAACACTCGGAGCGCTTCCCCATCATGGCATCAGCCTTTATCCAATTCAACAACCAGGTGGCAGCCCACATGGCCTGTCAGAGCGCCATCCACCATATACCCAAGACCATGGCCCCGAGGGTCGTTGAAATCTCACCGGAAGATGTCATCTGGGACAACATGGCAATGACCTGGTGGATGCAATGGACACGGGTTCTCCTCGCCTGTGGTTTCGTCTTCGGCATGATCCTTCTGTGGACGTTTCCTGTTGCGTTCTCAGCAGGTCTCGCCTCCATTGATGATCTCATCTCTAAGTATGACTGGCTGAGCTTCCTCAAGGTGAACGAGAAGGTACACGATTTCGTGAAACTGGCCGCGGGTGTCTTGCCTCCCGTTCTTTTGGCAATTCTCTTGGCACTTGTGCCTGTGGTCCTCAATTTCGTCGCAGAGTTTCAAGGCGTTAAGACTGGGTCGTCGAGGTCGGAGTGGGTGCAAACCTATTATTTCTTCTGTAAGTGTTTCCTGGAGCACGGCAAGCAAACTCCCTCGCTAACAATCGCAGTCCTCTTTGTGCAAGTCTTCCTCGTCGTTAGCATTTCGACTTCAGCCATCAATACGCTGATCGCCGTTGCGCAACACGTTGAGGAGCTGCCGACCATCCTCGCTAAAAACCTGCCAGACTCGGCCAATTATTTCTTCTCCTATTTGGTACTCCAAGGTGCCTCTGTGAGCTCCGGAACTCTCCTGCAAGTCGCAGGATTGGTGAGTCGGCTCTCAGTACTCCCGGCGGTCAAAAGTGGAAGCTAATGAAGTTACAGGCCATGTGGTATTTTCTCTCGAAGATCTTCGACAACACTGTGAGGGCCAAATTCAAGCGCCAGATTTCGCTGCCCCAAGTCAGCTGGGGTTCATTCTTCCCAGTCTACACCAACTTCGCCTGCATCGCCATCATTTTCTCTGTTATCGCACCCCTCATGACGGTGTTCGCCATTATCAACTTCAGCATGCTCTGGTTTGCGCATCGATACAACATGCTTTTTGTGACCCGCTTCAGGACAGACACAGGTGGAGTGCTGTACCCCAGGGCGCTCAACCAGACTTTTACAGGGCTCTATGTCATGGAAATTTGTCTGCTCGGTCTCTTCTTGATTCAATCCTCGACTTGTTACCCGCAGGCCATAATCATGGTCATTGCTTTCGCATTCACGGCGCTCTACCAAATATTTTTGAACCGCGAGTTCGGCCCGCTGACGCGATACCTCCCAATCACCTTCGAAGACGAGGCCATCTTGAGGGACCAAGCTTTCCAGAAAGCACAAGATCGGCGTCTGGGGATAATTACCGATGATGACGAGACAACTACTCTCCGCAGTGTCAAAACCTACGATGATGATAAGGACATCGAGATGCAGGACCTCGATAGGGCACCTAGCGGGCAGCTCCGCCAGGAGTCCGCAGCGAAAACCCATCGCAAGAACCTGTCTTCCGGAGGAGGCAGTCTCCGGTCGAAGCTCGTCAACCCTGTCTCGACACTCAAGCATGCCGGCACCTGGGCGGTACAGAGTGGAAACACCATGAAGAACGCCACGCTCGGGCGGGCAGAGGAGAACCTCAAGACGGCGGCCGAGTACAGGCGGCAGCGGCGAGGCAAGGAGCTTGAGGCGCAGCGGGCGATCGGCGAGGCGCTGTACGGGGGGTTCGCGGACGAAATCGAGGACCTCACGCCCGAGGAGCGCAACCAGCTCGTTCAGAAGGCCTTCACGCACTCGGCGGTGCGCGCGCGGCGGCCCGTCGTCTGGATCCCGCGTGACGATCTCGGCGTGTCGGACGACGAGGTGCGCCGCACCAACGACTACAGCGAGCACATCTGGATTAGCAACGAGGGCACGGCGCTCGACTCCAAGTGCCGCGCCGTCTATGGGCGCGCCCCGCCCGACTTCTCCGAGCTCGACCTCATCCAGCTGTGATTGACGTCTTTGACGGCAAAGGCTCAACGGATTCCCTTCTTGTGCATTCTTGCATTTTTGCATCAGGCGATGGCGTTTTTACATTTGATTTTTTTATACCTGTTCAGTGGCCCGTTCAAGGAGTCTTCAGGGTGGTGTTTGGTTCCCAAGAGGGGTGGGTGTATTATCGGTCACGGAGCATAACAGACAGCATCGGAACACGGCACAGGGGTGATTCATTGCATATATAAGCGTTGAAGAGAGTGCATTTTCACAGGCATTAGAAACGATTACAAGATAGAGGGTCCCTACCTCATCCTATGCATACTTTTTTAACGAGCACTTGTTCCAACTGCGCCATTATGTTTGATGTTCGATGGATCGCCCTACAATGTTCGGCAGAGGTAGCTGGCTCATGATACTTGGAGCACTCGACCGTCCAAAACCTGGAGGCTAACTGCCTTTCACATTCACATGCACCGAGGACAGAGTCATCAACTGATACAAAGTTCATGTTGCTCCATTCCTCTATCTCTGTGCGAGGGTAAAAAAGTAATGTAGAATCATAGAACGTGCCGGACGGTTAGGTGGTATTAGAGAAGATGATTGTTCCCCCCAGACTGTGCCCCCTTTCCACTTCCCTTTCCTGTCCATTCCTTGCCTCCTCCGAGGCATCCCAAATTGACTGAGTACCTTGAACGCCGTGCGAGAATGCAAACGCCCCCATTAAATCCGCTGCTCCCAATCCGTCCGTCCATCCATCCGTCCACATTTCTATCGATCTCTGGTGTATTTCCGGCTGGGGCGGCTTTCTCTTCGAACGGCCTGGTCGACTGGGAAATGACGGTTGCTGCAAGAACAAAAGACGCGACGCACACAATATGACCAAAGACTGCTCCTGCTGTTCCCTGACCCGCGCTGTGTTCCTGCCCCGTAAAGACCGGGTGGTGAATCAGGTCGGATGGATTTCACTCGTCACCCCCCGTTGCGCGTCGTCGTCAGCTGACATCCGTCGACGCCCCCCACGGCCAGATATCCCCTCGTATTTCAAGCGACGGCCCTGGCCAGTCTGTTCCACGTTTGACCCATCTGATTCCTCCGTTCGCTGTGGGGCTACGAGCGCATCGTGTCCGCGTCGTATCGTATCGCATCGGCCGGCTTAGATGAGGATGTCGAGACAGCAGCAGCAGCACAGCGCCGCCATGATGCCCTCGAGCATGCCGGGCCCCCTCTGGCCGCGCTGGTCCTGGTACTGGCCGTACGGCGGGCCTTGCTGGTAGTAGGCGCCCGGGGGCGGGTACTGCTGCTGGTCGTATGGGCCCTGAGGGCCGTAGGGTCCTTGCGGGCCGTAGGGTCCCTGTGGTGGCGGGCCGTATCCCATGTTCTGTTGCTGGTAGTAGCCGCCGTCCTGAGGGGGGTAGTAGCCCTGCTGCGGCGGGTACTGCTGCTGGCCGTCGTAGGTGGGCTTGGGGGCCTCGGGGCCCTGGCCTGCGTAGTAGGCCGGTGGGGCGTCTGCTGGCTTGCCGGACATGTTGACTGGTGTGTGTCCTTGGTGGTGGAATTAGGAGAGAGTATCTGATGGAAACAGCAGGCGCTGCTGATGGGCGGGCTTCTCAAGATGGCTTGTGAAGTCGTCGTGAGGTTGAGGTGGCGTGTTGGTAGTTGAGAGGAGGAGGTTGTATTCCAAAGGGGGGAAATCTTCGGATGCGCGGGTGACAGATGGCTCGCAGGTGATGGATGGGCTTGTCTTGCGTTGGGGTGTGTGGCGAAGCACTAGCTCCCGGCCCGGCGTTTTAGTGTGCCAGGTCAATCGGTAGGCTAGATAGAATGGCTGGAATGGGTGGCGCGAAGGTCTGATGATTTGCACCAAGCTCTCTCTCTCTCTCCTTGGTTCTCTGGCGGGCTAGGGGATGTGCTATGCGGACTTAGGAGCTGTCGCAGCGACCAGAAGGCGACTCGGCCGGTGATACTTGGGGCTTGCAGGGTTGACGGCGGGCAACAAGTGACGTGGCAGCGGTTGGTCGACGAAGAATGAATGTGAAAGTGTGAGTTGGACAAGACCCAGGCAATGGAACAGCAGAAAGTAAGGGAGCGACGGAGAAGGAGAGGCAGCCGTAGGTTGTTGCTGCAGCTGCAGCAATTTGGTTTTTGTCAAACTCGCAACGTCTCACCTCATGTTACCGACGCTGCATCTGGACCCCCGAACGGGGCCGCGGCTACTGCCTTTGCAGCGCAGCACGATGGCGTGCCTATCCTGCAGCACAGCCACATCAAAGAAGTTGGTGCTCCACTCCCCAGCTCCCAGTGCCTCGGGTGCTCGTTTAGCATGCACGCTCTTAACCTTGTGTGAAGTAGACCCGTAACCCTTGCCCTGTCCGCAATCTCACGGGGGCGACCCCCTCATTACTGGGGGGAGGGGGGTTGTCCATGTGCACGGAAGCACAAATGTGTTGACTGTCCTTTTCATAGAGATTCTCCAGTTGGTATTGTCGCAAGTGATATGCCATCATGGGGTATCGATCATTCCGCCATCCCATGTCTCTGTGCCGGCCCCGAAACGCCTTGTACGTGAACAGTAGTACAAGGTCGGCAAGATGGTGATACGCGTATACCAAGCCATGTCCGAGATTTGATTTCTGCTCAAGCCACTTGGTAATTTCTCACCCATGTAGTCGGGTTAGAAATTCCCACTCGCTGACCACCTTCGTATGGGCCCTCCAGTCCTTCCCCACTGAATACGCAGCGCCTACCGACACTTTGAGCCGCCGCCCGGTCGGAGGCAGCCCAGGGTCGATCAGAGGCTGCGGAGGGTGCCTCCCCAGCACTTCCCACATCCGCCTCTCCTCTTGGTATGTCGCCTGGGCGTCCACGGCATCGGAATAGACCTCCTGTTCCCTCTCGGCTTTGATCCTGCGAAATAGTGTCTCGCGGTCCCTCTTCGTCTGCGGCCGGTCAACTGTTGAGTACAGCATGATCTCGTCTGCCTCGGCCTTGACGTCTTCGTCTTCATCCTCGCTCTCTTCATACTCTGTGTCCGACGGATACCCGTCGTCTGAGTCCATAGAGTCCGTCTCAGCCTCGCTGTATGCCGGTGCATGGCGTGAGACAGCTCCCTGGTCTGAAGACAACTCGATTCGTTGTATCTTATGCCTGATGCTGCTAATATTGCGATGCCCATGCATTCCCAGGGCATGTTCAACAGCATCGTATGGCATCATTGTAGCCGCGTCCTCCTCTTCACTGGGTCTCGGTGGGTGCTCGTAAACATGCAATCCCAAGCGTCTGGCAGATCCGGCCAACACGGACTGCTTCTCCGCCCTCATTCCCACGGACAGGGCGGCGGCATGGACGTCCCTCCGGCGCACTTCGCTTTGATTGCCTGCATTGTATCTACTCTGAGCTCGTATACGTGAGCTCGCCATGTAGATTGTTGCCGCCACCAGTCGTCTCGTCAGCGTCAGCGCAAGTGAGTAGAAGTCCTCTAGCGTCGCATGCCGAATTGAAGGGTAGTCGCCGTCCACAGACTGCCAATTTCTCTCTTCTGATGTGCCGTTCATGAAGAGTCGCCCCGAAATTTGCAACCAATTCGGTACGTTCAACACGGATGATGGTATTAGGTCACCGTCCGCTGCCTCGTCCTGGGCATCATCCTTGCACTTCTGCGTGACCAGCCAGTCGGTCCCATGCTTGTGCTGTTCGGTAGTCTGCTCAAAGTTCTCCTGCCTCAGGGCGAGGCTGTCGGCCGCCTCATCCAAGGCCTCGCAACATTCGTGGCTCAGCTCGACGGCTGCCGGGAAGTCTGCCAGCTCCAGGGGGTCGAGCTCATTCAGTCGCCGCCGCTGGGCGAGCCCGTCTTGGAGCAGCTTCAGGTACTGCCTGACCTCCATCTCGCCCTTAGTGCGGATCCGGCGAGCAATCCCTGGCGTGTCATCCCGGCCGAGGCGACCGAGGGCCTCGAAGAAGCGCTCCTTTTCCATGGATGTCCAGGTCACCATGCCGATCTGCGATGATGGTAGACTGATTCTCTCGTCCTTGGTCTCACGGCCAAGCGGTACATACTGAGCGGCTGCGTGCTCAATGTCCTCGTTCAAGATGTCCAGATAGGCGCGGTTGAAGGAACCCTTGGCTTTCTTCAGTGGTCGGAAACTTGCATCACTCTGTGCCTCTGCTGGTGACTTCCGCTTTCTCGAGCTTGATTCTTGGCTGGAGCCATCTCCTCTCGACATCGGCCCCTTCACCAGTTGGCTCACGGGCGAGTCGCTGCTCTCAGCTTCATCAGGCGAGTACTCGCTTTCGCCAGATGAGATTTGATGAGATGGCGGTTGGCGTTGTGCAGGCATGAGTCCTTCACTGTCTGAAGCGTCTCTTAGTCCGAGCCTTTCCGAGTCGTTTTTTTCGACAGCGGTGCCTCCCTTCCCAGAGTCACTGGAATTTTCTGAGGACTGGTGTCCTGGTGACTCAGGTCTGCTGTTGAGAGCAGCGCCACCATCCGAATCAGTGTCCCTGTTCCGCGCCGTACGGTTGCGCTTGCCCTGACCGCTTGAAAAGTTGCGCAGCTCCTGGCTCTGACCGTCATAATGCCCGCCGATCTCCGCATCACGATCCTCAGTGGGCTGGTGATGACGGTCGTTCACATGGGTATTGTCGTATGCTCTGGCACGCTCTTTCTTGGGGCGTTTCCGTCTTTTTTGAGGGCTGGCCTTCCTGATCTCACCACCTTCGTGGTCGCGCGACAGTTCACCGTTGGGATGAAGGACGTCCATTTCGACATGGTTGCTCGTTTGTCCGTCAGACGGCATTTTGTGCTTGCGATTCCATCAATAGTGCGCGACTAGAATCGCGCTAAAGATGGTCGGGCAATGCACATTTCGATGATTGTCCGATTCTCAGCATTCCGTCAAATAACATCACAGTGCCTTTGAGAACAACGGTTCCTCAAGTCACACTGGGCTGTTGGTGTTGCAGGAAACTTTTACAGAAGATGGACTTGGAGTTGCAGGGGTGGAAACTTTAGCGCGGCCCGTTCTGGGCTCCAAGTTCAGGGGTACCCGTGAAGCGCGTGGGGGATCGATGCAGCCGCCTTGCCCATTCAGCAGGCCGCCTCCTCAGCCTCACAGCTTTTTTCCCAACGTCCGTCAACCGGCAAGGCTGAGCACAACATGTTGCGACCAGTGTTGAGGGGCTTGGGAGCTTCCACAACACTCCTCACAATACCAGGGCCGTGGAGGATGATCGGCGCCGCCCCTCGGCGTGTCCTCCGTGGTCCAAGAATATTGTGCAAGTACTCGAGAGATTATGCGACTCAGCAATTGCAGCTTCGAGATTATCAACTGGAATGCATTCAGTCCGTCGTATCTGCTCTCAAGAATGGACACAAGAGAGTTGGCATTTCTCTTGCTACTGGAGGAGGCAAGACTGTGAGTGCTTCTTTGTCTTATAGCTGTCTTACGCTCCTCTATCTGGCCTTTTCTGGACTCACTACAAGTCTTGCTCTATGTATCTCGTATATCTGACTGACTGCAATATAAGGTCATCTTCACACAACTCATTCAACACATTGAGCCTCCTGCAGAAAGAGCTACCCAAACTCTGATTTTGGCTCATCGACGAGAACTCGTCGAGCAAGCTGCTAGGCACTGCGTCAACGCATACCCTGATAAGACTGTCGAGATCGACATGGCCAAGTCTCATGCCAGTGGTATATCAGATATCACCATTGCCAGTGTGATGAGCCTCCAGAGGGATGAACGGCTTGAAAAATACAACCCCAAAAACTTCAAGCTTGTACTCGTTGATGAGGCCCACCACATCGTGGCCCCGGGCTACATGAAGATTCTCGAACACTTCGGGCTCTCCACCAAGAGAACGGACTCACCAAACCTGGTCGGCGTGTCCGCAACATTCTCGAGGTTCGACGGGCTGAGGCTGGGAACAGCGATCGATGAGATTGTGTACCACAAGGACTATGTCGACATGATAGACGAGAAGTGGCTGTCCGGCGTCGTCTTCACAACAGTCAAGTCCACGGCCGACATCAGCAAGGTGAAGAAACAATCTGGGGGTGGCGACTTCGTCACATCCGAGCTTTCAAGTGCCGTCAACACAGACCAAGTCAACGATGTTACTGTCAGAAGCTGGCTTGCCAAAGCAGGCGACAGGAAGTCGACCTTGGTGTTCTGCGTCGATCTGGCTCACGTGGCCGGACTCACCCAAAAGTTTAGGCAGTACGGACTGGATGCTCGGTTTGTGACCGGTGACACACACAAGGTCACAAGAGGCGAGATCCTGGATGCCTTCAAACGGGGCGAGTTCCCTGTGCTTTTGAACTGCGGCGTCTTCACGGAGGGAACTGATATCCCCAACATCGACTGTGTGATTCTTGCGCGGCCCACACGGTCACGCAACCTCCTCGTGCAGATGATAGGCAGAGGCATGAGACTGCACAAGGGGAAGGAGAACTGCCACGTCATGGACATGGTTGCCAGCCTCGAAACGGGGATCGTCACGGTCCCGACGCTCTTTGGTCTGGATCCCGGCGAGCTGGTCAGCAACGCGACACTCGATGACATGAAGAGCACGAAAGAGCGGAAAGAAGCCGAGAAAACCAGACAAGAACAAGCTTATGATAGAATACCCCCCACCATGTCCCCGGGCGTCCCCCAGAAGATCACTTTCACAGAGTACGACTCCGTGTTCGACCTGATCTCCGATACCTCTGGGGAGAGGCATATCCACGCCATAAGCCAGTACGCCTGGGTGCAAGTAGGACCAGACAAATTCGTTCTGACCAGCGGCTCCGGTACCTATTTGAGACTTGTGAAGGACGACGCCCAGGACGTGGATTCTGTTTTCTGGAGGGCCTTCGTCGTCCGCGCTCTACCAGCCAGCCTCTCCAAGGCGCCGTATGCGCCACCACACGAGATCCTGAAGGCACCCAACTTCACTGATGCCGTGCATGGCGCCGACAACTACGCGCAGAGGTTCTTTCTACACGTGATGATATCTCGGAAGCAGCGGTGGCGGGAAGGCCCACCGACCGAGGGGCAGCTCAAGTTTCTGAACAAGCTCAGGGCCGAGGATGACAAGCTCACTATGAACGACATCAAGAAGGGAAAGGCTGCCGACATGATAACCAAGATCAAGCATGGCGCCAGGGGCCGGTTTGCGGATCTGCAAACCAGCAGGCGGAAGAAGGAGAGGCAGGTGGCCCAAGAGGAACAGGAGAAGGAAAGGAAACGGAGGGAGCGTGTGACCGTTGGACCTGTCGCAGCTTGAGTGGCGTGCCACTGGTAAGTCATAAAGTGCTCCTCTACTTGTGAAAAGCATACAAAGCCATTTTTCCGTCACTGTCTTCTATATATAGACATTTTGCAGCTGGCGGCAGTGTCTTCCATCCAGGGTTTATAAGGCTCTCCTGGCAAATAAAAGGAATCCCATAGCTCAAAGACACAACGTAAGATGCTGACTGACAGCAGATACATAGGACCAAAAACCAGTGATTCATCTGGTGTCCTGGGACAATCTGCTTGCCAGCATGTCACGGTCGATAGGAGTGAGGTTCAGATGAGCTCTTTGCCCTCCCCCACCCCAGGGCGCCAGGGACCAGCTGCCTGCAGACCTCGCCGCCGACTAAGCATCGCCGACTAAGCATCGTGAACCTCGTCCCTGCGAATCACGGTTCACGATAGCCCTGCGCCGCCGAGCTAAGCATCTCTCGTTTGGATCCAAAAAGGTCTTCGCTTTCAAAATGGCATCTCACTCTCCATCCCTTCCGTCCCCTCCCAGCTCTCCCCCGGCCTCCTTGTTGATTGAGACCATCGACTATCACACAGGCGATGCAATTGCGCAGCCTGTCAACCAGCCATCTCACGATCTTCCTACTGCAGTCTCTCCCTTGGCCTCCTCTTTTTCAGACCATCTTGTTCAAATTGACGCTCCCTACGACTTCAGTGCACTTGCGCAGTCTGTCGAGGTGCCATCTCTCGAACTTTCTCGTGAAGCCTCTCCTGCGATCACTGATCACACTGTCATTCCTCACGACTTTGCTGGACCTGCGCAGTCTGAAAGCAGCCAGCCACCTCAGAACCCTGCTTCTGCCACTCTTCCTGCGATCACTGATCGCATTGACATTGCTCACAACTCCGACCTACCTGCGCAGCCAGCTCGCCGTCAAAGAACTGACCATCTTCCTCCAACCATCCTTCCTGCTCTCGACAACTACGAGGAGCAGCACCCGTTTGGAATCCTCAACTCCGTTCACCTTCGCCTGCGCATCGGTCGCGACACCAGCCGTGATCCAAACATGATGCCCCCAGCCCCACCTGCGCGTATCGTCCAGCGCAACGACTTCAAGGGTACGCCACCAAACGGCGACCCCAAGGACAACATCACCACTGCCACCGGCAACACCCAAGTCCAGGGTGTCACCCGCGAAGACCAGGGAGCCGACAACTTCCTTGGCAACGCGATGAAGCGGAGCTTCCCTCCCAAGCTCGAGGGCGTCGCCGAGGCGCGCCACAAGAGCGAGGCGAAGACAACCGAGGACCTCGCTGGCCTGAGCCCTGAGCTGGAGGCCGCCGTGCTCGCCAAGCGCGAGTACATCGAGAAGTTCGACGCGTTCCGCACGCGTTGGACCAAGGTGCAGTTCGCGCTCGCCGACAAGGCCGAGAAGATGCGCGGCAGGGTCACCGCCGCCGAGCTGCGGCCTGTCGTCGGCGCCATCGGCACCATGTTCGCGCTCGGCAAGGCCGTCGACCTTGCTGCCTTCCCGGGCTGCAGCTTCGGGGAGTTCGACGAGGTACGTGCTGCTGCTGGATACCCTATCACTGATTTCCTCTTCGCGCCTGGATCAAACGGGACTGCTTTCGCGGATGTCCACGGCGGCGCCTCATGATCTAGATACTTTACCTTTTCACTTCTCCTCGTCCTGACGTCAACATCATCTGCCCCCCTATCAGTCCGTAAGGAGAGTTGCTAACGTGAAGACAAAACAGAGGGCCTGTAGCCCCTTGAGCTACCTCCCGTCGCTCTTCCCAGAGCTCACCCACCGTCCTCCCCCGGGTCCTGCCGACCCATTGGGTCAGGCGGAGGAGGTGCTCGCTCCCGTCCTGCCCCTTCAGTGGGACTTCTCCCTCAGCGGCATCATGGGGGAGAAGCGGGATCGGCTGCGGGCCCTCTGGGCTGCTGCCGCGGCCGGCCAGTGGGAGGCGGTGGACGAGATGACGAGCGCCGCGCTGGCGGCGGCGGAGGAGTTGCTGGGTGGTGTTTAAGCTGGGGGAAAAGGGGGTGGGGGGTTGTGCGTTGTGGCCCTTTGGGGCGTCCTGATGAGAGGACCACGCTATGTTTTGTCTGTTTTGATACCATGTACAACTAGCTGGGGACGGGGAATGGAGTTTGAGGTTTGCCCTTCTTGAGGCTTTGCTCGCATGCTACGTGATGCCTCGTGAAGACAGTGATTGCGTGCTTGCTGTCGAACCGAGACTCCAGGGAGTTGTTGACTCATACCGGATGGGCATCCACATTATGGTCACAGTCATATGTGACATGTCATGACGTGCATCCGTTGCGGAACAGGGAAATGTCTCTTCGCACAGCTTGGCTTGGGGGGGAGCGAGCCAGAGCTTATTTAGCTGTTGGCTAAGTTTGAGTAAGTAGGAAGGCTGAAGTCAATGCATCAAGTAATCCCCCACGGGTTAGAAACGGCCTCCGTTGATTATCATTTCAGTTGTGGACTTCATGTGAGAGAAGAGGTGTGCGCACCAACGAATGGACGAGTAGCAAAACAAGCTGACTGCTGCACCCTGAAGATCTTGCCCCAGACCGCGGTGGGCCGCCAGCGGCCTCAGGGCCAAGCAGCACCCCGAACTGCCCAACCACAAGGGGCCTATCTCCGATCTCGGTCGCCCGCAGTGTCACCAACCAAGGGTATTCGAAATTTCACAGGCGTCGGGCAAAGCTCGACCGACTGACGATGAGGCCATCCATAATTCTCTCTGCTCACTCCCTCGCAGAAACTAGTCAGTCACCCTGCAGAGCTGGCTACCCTCGGCCTTCTTCCTTGCTGTCTTCTCTCGTATAACTCGCCTGCCCAACCCCCTGAGGACCTGGCACAGCATGGACAAGAAAACAGAGCTCGTCAAGTGAACCAAGCCGTCCTTCTTCCTTTTCCTTCCGTCACTCTGGAAACCCCACTCTTTTCTCCTCTTGCCGTTTCTCTAAATGCGTCGCCGTCGACGTCGCCACTCAGCTTGAACCTGTGCAGGAGACACCTGGGAACGTTGGCGAGGTACTCGTCCGTCTCTGAAATAAAGACCGACTCACCATGGCCGACCGAGACAATGGCAAGCCGGGCGACCCGGCCGGCCAGATGAGGCTTGAGCACAAGCAAATATCGCTCACCAAGCCCCAACTCGAGGGGAAAGACGTGGCATCCACGGTCAAGACCAAGTGGAACACGAAAAATCTCGCATTCAGGTGGGCAGCAGACATCGCGAGCGCGTCCTGTGCCGCGGGTCTCGTTGCGCCCCTGATCTCCATCATCGACCGGTACGTAACGGGCTCTGTCCCCCGGGTCTTCCCGGCCGCCGGGAGCTCCTACCGCGACCAGAACAACCGCTGACAAGTCTCCGTCTCCCCAGGTCCATCATGGAGAATGCATCGGGCCGCGCCACGCTCCTCGACTCGGTCAAGGGCTCGCTGCGGGAGCTCGTCCTCCGGCCGCACGCCATGATCCTCTCCAAGCCCGTCGCCCTCATCTTCATGGCCTACGGCGGCACCTACCTGAGCGCCAACACGGTCGACACGGCCTACTCGACCGCGCGCAACGAGCCCGCCACCCTCGTCACCTCGGGCACGGCCAAGTTCGCCACCTCGTCCGCCGCCAACATCGGCCTGGGCGTCTACAAGGACCAGGTGTACGCGCGCATGTTCGGACCCGTGGGCAAGGTCGCCCGCGCCGTCCCGCCGCCCTCGTACCTGCTCTTCACCCTGCGCGACTGCCTGACCATCTTCGCGAGCTTCAACCTGCCCATGATGCTGGGCCCGGGGGTGCACGCCGCCATGGGCGAAGCCCTCTCGAAGCAGGTCAGCGGCCAGACCCTCGTGCAGTTCGCGGCGCCCGCCTTCGTCCAGATATTCTCCACCCCCGTGCACCTGCTCGGGCTGGACCTGTACAACCGGCCCCGCTGCGAGAGGTCGGGCCTGCCCACCCCGGGCGAGCGCTGGGCCCAAGTCTACAAGAACTGGGGCATCAGCGTCGTCGCCCGGCTGTGCCGCATCATCCCCGCGTACGGCATCGGCGGCGTGGTCAACTCCAAGGTCCGCCGCAGCCTTATGGAGAAGCTCTAGGCCGTCTTCTCTGCATGCTCGAGAGAGTGTGTAGTCTAGGTTTTGCTTGAAGTATGTTCAGGTGCGCGTGATGCTTCATATTTGCACTATAGGCGTATGACTTCCGGCATGGCGTTCCGGCATTGAATTCTTCACATATTGTAATTTGTTTTCTCTTTCGATACCCATGGACAGATGATCTCATCTACATGATCGAGTATAGACCCCCCTAGACGATAGATTAGATGACGATAGACATGGTCTGCATCAGGGCCTCAGTAAGGCGCCAGGCAGATTACGATCTCGAAGAGAAAGAAAGTCGATCGATCTCGTGCATTCTATCTATGGGGATGTCACGCTGTGCAACTACAAGAACCCGCTCTCCCTCAACGCCTTGTAGACTGCAGCAAAAGGAGTCAGCTATCAAAGAACTAAGGAAGAAGTTTCATCTGGATGTAGGGAGGACCAGGCCACAGTATGGCCAGGGCTTGTTTCGAAACCTGCAGCCTAACATTACCTTGAAGGTACAGGCTACAGATAGGAAATCGATTTTCCAGAGAGGGTAAAAATTGTATCCGGAAGCTGCTTACTCTTCGCCTCGGCCTCCTGCGCCTCCGTGCGCTTGCGCAGACGGCCCTCGCCCGTGTCGATGTAGTTCTCCCAGAACTTGAGACCCTCAATGCCCTCCTCACGGCAGAGCACACCACGCTCCTCGGCCATCTCCAGCTCCTCCTCAGCGACGCCGATGCTCCACCCGAACCTGTCCGCCGCGTCACGCGCCGTGACGCCCCGGCCAAACTCCTGCCAGTCCCACGGGACCTCCCTCTCGGGCGGCACGTCGTGCAGGTCCCGCATCCACGCGAGCAGGGTCTTGATGGTCATCTCGTCCGTCCTGTCCATGCTCTGCACCACCATGACGCCGCTCTTGAAGGTCCGCAGCCGCACGGGCAGCTTCAGCTTCTCCCACAGCCGCGCCGCCTTCTCGAAGTCCATGGGGCTGACAAGCTCCACCCCGCCCCGGGCCCTGTTGAACATGGCCCAGAGGTCGACCAGGCTGATGATGCCTCCTACTTTTCTCAGTATACCCCTCGCATCGTCAGTGAGGAATTCCGCGAGGTTTCGTGCCAGCTCAGACAGGTAGAGCGACTCATTGCTGCTTCCGCCGCCGACAATATCCTTAGTCGTCACCAGCCCCAGCTGGCTTGCCGACTCGGCCAGCAGCGCGTTCGCCTCGGACGAGCCAGGGCCTACATTGCCTTGCCTGGAGAAGCCCTCAGCCAGGGCGACGATCTCCTTGGCAGATGCCATCAGTGCCTCGAGGTCCTCGAAAGCAGTGCCGATGACCAGCTCATTGTTCTTCCGCATGTCTAGCCCTCGCTGCTCGAGACCTGCGATACCCACCGTCTTCTTCCTCACTTGCTCGCGTGTGGACCCGTCCCCAGAGTTCCCGTCCACGGCGAGCGGGTTCTGGTTGGGGACACGAGGAGCGCCTTGCAGGAGCCACTTGCGCTGCGTGATCGCGCCCTTCAGCCGTTCATACAGGATCTTGTCACCGCCAGCCCGGAACGAGACCTTGATACACTCAGGGTTCTCCATACCGGGTAGTGCGCCATAGCTGAGAACCGGACCCGGAGAATCTGTCCTATCCTGAAGCTGTGGGGATTGGGCCGGCTGGCTCAGTTCCGTCGGGACGTCGTGCGAGATTAGCGGCGCGCCGCACATCTCGCATGATAGCAAAGACGGATGGTTCAGAAAGGTACACCGAGGGCACTGAAAGGAGGCATCCGGGTCAGAGCTCTTGGGAGGACTGTCGCGCGCCCCTGGCGACTCGTTCCCTGCGACCAGCCCATCACCTGCCGACATCCCTCGAGGACGCAGCGGCAGGGGTGACACCACGGACTGCCTGCTCGTCGCATTGTTTATGGCCGCTTTGAGCACATGGGTCAAGGCTGGCTTGATCCCACACGCCAGGCATGGCGGAAGCGGAGTCAAAGCACTGGCGGTGGCCGGGTCGAAATTTGAAGGCACCGGGTTCGAGAAGCTGCAGATGGTGCACACCCATGTCGCCGAGCTCGCAGGGGAAGGGTCCACGGGTGCTGGCCTCAGAGGGCTGTCTGACCGCGGGACAGGAGAGTTGTTGTTGTTGTCCCTCGGGGAGCCGGTCCCTGCCGCTGGGGATCTTGACTGAATCGAGGAGCGCTTGGTTGGCTTGGGGATCAAGGTGATCTTGGCCGAAGATTTGAGGAAGCCCGCCTGTAGCACATATACTCAGCAAGGTGGTTCCCAGGGATGCATCGTGGGCATGCATGCTTGATCTTACGTAGTATTCATATCGCTCGACGTCCTTGAGGTCCAGGGCGACCGAGTTCTTCCTGGGGTCGGTCTTATCTACATAGCAGATGCGATGCGACGTCAAATAGACCTGCCCATTCTGGTGGTTCTGTAGCTTGTACTTCCTGCAGCGAGGTGCGACGGTTAGCCTCTACGTCTCCACCACGCGACGGCGATCAACGGCAGCATCATCGAGGAGAGGGAGTCGGATGGGCAGCAAAGGAAGGGCGGCGCAAGCCAATGACGGACGGCACATGGATGCATCAACTAACCCCTCGTACAACCCCACATTATCTTGGACAAAGAGAAGGACTTCGTCTGGGAGATAGGCTGGCCGGAGGGCAGTTGTGAGGTCTAGCTGCTTTAAAAACATTCGTCATATCTGTTCTGGGAGACAATCCCAAATGTGAAAGGGAGAGAGGGGCATGGAAAGGCTGCCTGGCGGTCCTGACTTTGTCCAGACAGCAAGATGCGATGTATCCAGCAATCAGTGGTGTCAGGTCCGATGCATCTAGCCGGCTTAGAGCCCAAACGAGAAGTGAAGGCACGGTTAACCTGGACTTAGGTAAGCCAGAGCATGCCACTAGCGCCGTGCACGGCAGGCGGAAGTCTCACAAATGCCCCTGCTGCCCGCCCCCCACCCTCTCTCGCCTCCCACCGCTTTCCTCAATTTCCATTCTCATTTGAGACAACGACCGTCTTCGTCACCCGTCCACACCACCCACATCATCGTCGCCATCGCCACCATCAGCGAGCGACGACATCCACATCCCTTCGACGGCCATTTACTGATCTTTACAGCCCTCTTCTGACTTATGTGTGACTCTGTCTCCTGACCCCACGTAACCTGTCGCGTCGCCAAACATGTCAGCAAACATGATGGGCTGGGCCGCTGCGCCCGGCACCCAAGGAGCAGTCCCACCTCCGCCTCCAGGACCCTATGCCTATCCAAACCGTAAGTGCTTCCCGGCCTCGAGTGCCCTTGAAACAAGCCGCTAACATGCGTGCCAGCTGCATACACTCAGGTCCAAGTTCGCCAGAACTTCAGTCAGCCCTACTCCGTCCCTCCACCAGTCTACCCTGGTGCTCCTGTTCCACCATCTCCGTACGGTGCACCACAGGTGCCCCCTCCGCCCCCAGCTAATCAACCCGAGCCCGCCAAAAAGAAAATTGAATGGCCTCTGTCGGTTCGCCAATACGTCCAGCGATCATTCATCCCTGACAACCTGAATCCCTCGGTCTCGCGGTCCGACATGGAACAGAAGTTGAGGGAAGTCATCTCCGGCGCCACCGACTCTGGCAAGTTGCACACAATAGACTGGGAACACATGCCTTTACCCCAGGACTTGGTCGTACAAGAGCGCACCAAGCTGCTAGAGTCACAGAAGTCCGCCTTTGGCAGCAGTCCCGGCTCAGCCAGGAAGAGAAAGTCATTTGAACAGGACGGCGACTATGACAGCAGCCCTGCCACCCTATCCCCGCAGGAACGTAAACTCGAAAACCGTATCAGCTACGCTGCCGATGATAGGCGTCAAATCATGGACCTGCCGTTGGCCAAGAGTAAGTACACAAAGGCCAACGAAAAGCGACAAAAACGCGCAGAGCGCTTCGGTGCCCCCCAGCCATCGCCCCAGAGGTCTCCTACGCCTGAGCCTCCCGCTGGTCCAGTGATCGGAACGTGCCAAAAACTGGAGAAGAACTACCTGCGGTTGACCGCGCCACCAAAGCCTGAAGTTGTCCGCCCAGAGAGTGTGTTGCGGCAGACCCTGGACCTCCTCAAGAAGAAGTGGAAGAAGGAGAGGAAGTACTCTTACATCTGCGACCAGTTCAAGTCCTTGCGTCAAGACCTTACCGTGCAGCGGATCAAGAACGACTTCACTGTCGAGGTCTACGAGATCCATGCCCGGATCGCATTGGAGATGGCCGACCTTGGTGAGTATAATCAGTGCCAGACCCAGCTGATGGCCCTGTACAAGCTGGGTCTGAAAGGCCATCCCGATGAGTTCAAGGCATACCGTATTTTGTATTTCATCCACACCGCCAACCGCTCGGACCTTAATGATGCCCTGGCGGATCTAACCACAGCAGAGAAATCGGAGCCCGCCATCAAGCACGCGCTGGATGTCCGTTCGGCCCTGGCCCTAGGCAATTACCACCGTTTCTTCCAGCTCTACATTGACCCCTCTCATATCAAGATGGGTGCGTACCTGATGGACATGTTTGTCGGTCGTGAGCGCCTCGCTGCACTGTGCAACATGTGCAGAGCGTAAGTTCCTATTCCCTATCCTGCAGCACCAGCTCTGAGCGAATAGTACTGACGTGGTTCTTGGCGCAGTTACAAGACAGATGTTCCTCTTCGTTTCATCACCGAGGAACTCGGTTTTGATGCCGACGGCGACACGTACAAGTTCCTTGTCGACTACGATGCTCAGGGACTCCTAGAAGAGCGTGACTCCGTCGTCTACTTCCAAATGGGCAAAGCCAAGGGTCACTTCGAGGCTGCAAGAACCCAAGCCTTCGGCCGGGTTGACATCAAAGGCCAGATTTGATTCTGGCTTCGTTCTTCGTTTCCCTTCATTGTTACCCGAGTGTTTCATGGCGCAGCCAGCATAGCGTGGCACACATGGCATACACATTGTTGCCATGGCCGCATTTCATCTATTTTCGCATTTCCCGTCCCCGAACTAGCATCACCTACCTGCCTGCATACCAACAAGCCCACGTTTGACCGAACCCCGGCCGATTATGCACCCTGCAGTCCAGTCATGTGGCCAACGAGGACGGCGCAGCGCAGAGCGTGTGCGATCGAGTTGGCAAGCACGGCTGTCGACGATGCGGATTGTGCCTCGATATCCAATAATGCCAGTGGAGTTCCGATAGCCGGCATCCTGACCTCCCCCAGCTCTGCCTAATCTGTCGATATGCCCGGCTCGAGCTGGAGACAGGTGTGAGAGATTGGAAGGGAGAGGAGTGGCATGAATGATTCTGCACATGGTTGTTGAATGCGAGGGAGGGTGTTCTGTGTGTGTATTTGGAAATTTGTTGGGTGGTCACGGCCGCCTCGTTTCGAGATACCATTTTGATGTTGGCGGTATATGGGACAAGTAGACTTCTGGGCGGCACAAGATGTCCCGCCCCAGACAAAGGGCGTTCCTGCACAGGCGTTGTGGTTGTTTGTATTGCTAACTCTCAAAAATAATCATCCCACCAACCCTTGATGCTCCTGGACCCTACAAGTCCGTGATACGAGCCTCGTTGTACATCTGTCCTCAGGCACTTGTGGTGGAGGCAGGACCGACATCGCTCTGCCTCCAGTTATCCGTACTGGCCCAGGTCTGCTTATGTAACCCCTCCCAGCAGCCGCATCCCAAGTTTGAGCCCAGGCTTGAGCTCGTGCCCGCCCCTTTTGACCCGCCAACCCCGCAGCCTGGCAAGTCTGCCCGATTGTAGCAAGGCCAACCACCTCTTTAAGCCACTTTGCTTTGTCTCCACTTCATCGCAAATTGCATCCGTTGCATCGATTGCATGTCGCAAGGACGGCCTCGCCTCGAAACGCCTCGACAACGCATTTGAATATCGTATGTAAACACAAAGGCCATATTTGAATACCCAAAAAAACTGGAACCCTCGCCGAAGCGAACCATGTCGGCTCCGACGGCCACGGCCACGGCGCCGGCCACGTCGTCTGTCTCGAGCGCCATGGACGCCTCGCCCTCGGATGCCCTGACCGCCACACCGTCGTCGCAGAAGGAGCGTCACTCGCTGTCGCTGGACCAGCGGCGCGCCCTGCGGCGCTGGGCCAACTCGCAGACGGTGCGCCCCTCCCACAAGGCCTGCATCGAGTGGTTCGCCAGCCAGTACGGCAACACCATCAGCCAGTCGACCGTCTCGCACTCGCTGTCGCCCAAATATGCCCGCCTCGATGGCGACCCCCAGCTGTCGGGGTCGCGCCTGCGCTTCGGCAACTGGCCCGACGTCGAGAAGCTGGTGCTCATGTGGCACCACAGCATGGTCAGCAGCGGCCGCCAGCCCACCAACGAGGAGCTCGCCGACAAGGCAAAGTCCATCTTCCAGCAGCTGCCGCGCTACAAGGACGAGCAGCCCCCCGAGTTCAGCCCGGGCTGGATCCATCGCTTCAAGAAGCGCTACGGCCTCCTGATCCGCCGCCAGCGCAGGCACGGCACCGCGCCCCCGCCCCAGGACGACATCCCCTACCTCGTCGACGCCATCCCGCGCTTCATGTCCGTCGGCCCGGACACCAGCCCCGCCGCCATCCGCGACTCGGTCCAGCGCATAGTCGGCGTCGAGCCCTCGCTGGCTACCTGCGCCCGCGTCAGGGACGAGGTCGTCCGCAGGCTCGAGAACCCCCAGCTCAACCACAATGGCCAGCCCAACCACGTTCTCGACACCGGGGGAAACAACAACGGCGGTGGCGGCATGGGACACCCGCCCCCTGGCAGCGCCGGCGGAACCCATAGCGCAGGGCCCGGCGACACGTACGGCGACGAGGACCCGGAGATCGTCCTGCAGAACGCGCTGCACGCCCTGCAGCAAGAGGAGGCGGACGCGGAGGCCGAGGCAGCCGCCGCAAGGGAGGAGCGCGAGATGGCCGAGAGGGGCCTGCAGGCACCACCGCCGCAACCACAACCGCCACCTCCCCCACCCCAACCGCTCACGGGAATGGGGGCCAGCCAGTCGTACGCGCAGCAGGCCGCGGGGGCCGCGCTGGCGACGCCGGTTAGGAACGGGGTCGCGCAGCCCGGAGCCGTCGGCGGGGGCGTCGGGTCCGCGCCGCCACCGGGCGCGAACGGGACCCCCGTGCTGGCCCAGCCGCGGTACTCTGTGGGCGACGACCTGAACCTGACGCCCATACCGGCCAACGGACCCATCTCGACGACGGACCGGCCCATGCGCTGCCCGTTCTGCATCAACCAGCGGATGTTGAGGACTATTAAGGAGGCGGTGGAGCACATGGCCACGCACGTCGTCGTCTGAGTTTGGGGCAAACAAGAGTTTGTTTCGCCGTTGTCTGTTTTGGAGGCGACGGGGGTGTCAGTTACTCACGATACATACACGCACACACACACAACGTCCATACACGCACCCACATACCGACTTGAGACATAGATCAGGCGCTCTGGTCACCGCGGCTCGGGAGACAAAATCTCAGAAGAGAACACAACAAAAGACACGGCTGGGCTGGGCTGGGCTGGTTGATCATTGGAGCACGAGTGCCAGCCCAGATGATTTCCCATTCATGATGTACATATTGTACCACTCGGTTCACTTCTCTGGTTTTCGTTTTTCTTTTCTCTATTCACAACGAAGACACCACAGCCCCTCGGTCGTCGTTAGGGATGAGGATGCACAGGTAAAGGAGTTTGTCGGGCGTTTTTGGGCGTTGATCTGACGGCAGGCATGACGTAAACTCCCACAGACAAACATAACGATGACTTTATGCTTATATCATGAACATCTCGCCTTTTCCCCCCTCACGCCAGTGATTGGAATGCTACGAGAGTGAGACATCCTCTCATGGGCAGGATCGGCCTGATCCGCCGGCCGGACCAGAAAGTCCGTCTAGTGTAAGCTCTCATGTAAACAAACAAGGATAAACCATTCAGAGGATTTCTGAGTGCAGGCTCTACGCAAGATCTCGATTTCGTACGGGTTTGGTCTCGGCAAACGCGCCTGGTGTTTCACTCGGATTTGCACGGACAAGGTCAAGAATCTCTCGCTCATCACTCTCTCTGTTCATTCCCTTCTCAACGACTAAAGCTTTCTTTCTCAAGGGGGATACGGCTCCAGCGCCAGAAACTGGCCTCCTCAGAACCAGGAATCAACCTCGACCTCCCCGTCATCTGTATCTCGCAATCGTGCTTCGGCTCCCACTGGTCCGTCGGTTCAAACAACATCCCCTCCCCTTCCCCAAACACACGTCACGGTCCAATTTTGTCCACCGTGGAGCCCGAGCCTCGCGGACCAACCAGCTAGTTGGTATCTTGTGTCCCCTCACGCTGGCACTCATCTTCTTGCATCCTCCAATCTCACCCGAGATTGGCCGCCCCTCTGGAGCATCGAAAGAAATGGGTAATAATAAGGACTGAGCAGGAGAAAACCAAAGGAGGAAAACGAGCAGGAAAAAAAGAAAGAAAAATAAGAGACCGAGGCCTAGATATCTCATAGAAGTGGAAAAAAAAAAGGTTGACCAAAAAAGAAGCCAGCCATGAACGCCATTGCTTTTCCACCAACTGGAAAAGCTCCCATATAGACATATTCCATCATCATGAGTTGCTTGCGCTTCGTCGACGTAAGGTGACAGATTTTATGTAACGGTGAATAAGAAGCCAAATGCTGGGTGGTCCTTGAGCGTTCGGCCGGAAGTGTGCAAAAAGGGTCTGCCGACAGGTTTTCTTTTAACGACCGTGGGTGCACTGGGAGCCCAGCTACTAAGCAATATTCCCGTCAAAGGTTTTGGTACAACAGAAATGACAAGACGTGTCGCATCTCTCCCCGGACCATTGTTTGGGGAAATTTCGTTTGCAGACATGAGCGAATGATTTGGTTGCATGAGAGAACTTGTCAGAAAACACCTGGTCGATGCGCTGGGCGATCGCGGAGTCCCATTGTGGAGTCTCGAGATCCGGCGCGCATGATCGGAGGCTTCAGGACCGTTCACAGAGCACTTCATACTTGCTCCACGTAAATCAGTAGCTTCTCATTGCGTTCCAACGCAACGTCGAGGTCGTTGTTGCTAATCATCGGGAGCTTGTCCTGTGTGCTCTCATCCTTGTAGGAAATGTCGATGGGGTCTCCCGCCGGGATCTTGAGCCTGTCTCGGATCTTCTCGTACAGGTCTCGGAACTGGATATCCGTCGGCACCCGGATGGCGATGAGGTCGCCGTTGAAGCTCAACTTGATCTTCATCGCTGCTGCTTGCTGGTTCAGACCGGGGGAGAGTGAATTCTGAGACGGTTGAGAGAGAGATGACGACTGGCGTGGGACGCCGTTGGGTCCTCTTGAACCAGGTGCTGCAACGTATCCATTTCCATTAAGATTGTTCCTCGATGATTGTTCTGACACGACGTCCGGTGGTGTGCCTTGAGACGAATGGTGGGAGCCGCCGGACAGTCGGTAGTCCTCCTCGCCTGTCGGGGTCGGATCAATCTCGTAGTCTCCTTCCCTAGGCGCGAAGAATTGCTTGACCAGGTTACACCTCGAGATGTAAGGTGGCTGGCTCAAGAGATTTTTCACGTAGGCATCCAAGTTGTGAAGCCGACCTTCCGTGATAGCATCGGTGACGTAGTTGACAGGACCTGGCATATAGGGCAATGTCCGCTTTTGTGTGCCAGTGTTTCCTGCCTCGGCCGGGAATTCGGTCAGAAGTGCAATCTGGAAGTCGTAAAAGTCTTCGTAGTATCGCGACAGCTCCCAATGTCGACCATCCTCTAGCGCGGCCTCGATCACAAACCAGTATTTGTCTTCGGCAAAGCAGTAGCGGGGGATGCGTGCGGAGATAGGGGCGTGTAACTGTCCTCCAGGGCTTGAAACCTGAGGATTGGCCATGGTGGGTTGCTGGCTCTGTGTGTTTCGCTGATAGCAGTTCCTAGGTCAGCAATGCAATGCCGCGATGGAGGCAATGAAGATCTAGACTCACGTTGCTTTGAGGCTGCTGTGCATTGCCTTGGCTCATACGACCGGTACCCTGCTGAAGGCTCATGCGCTCCATGCCTTGCTCAAGAGCCTGCTGCTGGCCTGGGGCCCCTCCTGCCTCGAACTTGCCCAACGTAATGCTGCTGTTCTTGTACTCGGCGGCCATTTTCTTCCATTCTTCTACCCTCGGTATTCCCGCTCTCCTGATTGCACCTTGAGGATCGGGGACTGGGGTGTTTGTTGCCATGTCGCGAATCTCGATAAAAGAGACTGGAATCAGACCGGGACCGCCTAGTCGCCCTATTGGTTTCGCCACAAACCACTCGGGATTTGATTGCGCGATTACGATAATCGCCTCTCCAGCCTTGGCCTCCAGCTCGTCCGCTCTTTCGGCCTGGAAGTCGTACATGACTATGCCGTACACCATAGCCCCGTTCTTCCCCGCAGCAGACATCTTGGAACTTCGTTGACTTGCCGTTTGCGTGGGTGTTACGCTCGAGGCAGATGTTTCGGCATACCCGGAATCGTGATCGGGGTTGTTGGTGGCACCGGGAGACGGTCGACTTGTGTCCGAGCTTGCGCTGTCGCGTTCTGTACGGCCCAGAGCCTTGAAGAAGCTCACTGGAACAAGGCCACGAGCGTCAGGTAAAGCGGGATTGCAGGCCTCGTACCAGTCGGGGTCATTCTCTCGACCGATAACGTGGAAAAAGTCGCCGCGCGAAAAGCTGAGTTCTTGGCTGGTTCGGGCTTCGTAGTCATAGAGCGCTCGAATTACCTGTCAAGTCCACGGGGTCAGCAATTTGATTTGATTCTCCACCGAGGCCCAGGAGAAATGTGCCGCGAATCGGGCTCAAAGCGGGGGCATGGTTGGAGAAGAGACTCGACCGCCCTTGACCCACCCGCGAGGCCCGCTCTAACTCATTGTTCCAAGGATCCAGAAGGCACGGGTGGAATGCATGGAGGAGCAGGTTGCCGACAGCGCTTCAAGGCCACACAATGGGTTTTGGACTCGACTGCAATGAACATACCTTTTTCGGCGGCACTATTGCGACAGCAGATTTGGGGCCGATTGAGACATGAGCCTTCGCCTTCTCCTCTCCCTTGATCGATCTGCGGAGGGCCTTGATGGCGCGTAAAATGTCAGTTTGTTTGCTCGACGACATGTGTGACGTGTTGCTGAATGAACGAGCCATGCGCTTCGGATTCGAAAACGTCGAAACAGGACGATGGGGTGAAGGTAGGGTAGTTTATGGTCAGGGTTGCAGCGCAAGCGTGAAGAGCGACGTCGAGATGTCATGCGGCCTCCAGCCGACTGTTCACATACAGGCAAAGCGACTAGAAATGCGCAAGGAATGATACGAAAAAGGGGAGTGCAACGGCTTGGCTGGGTGTACGAACCTTCATGGTGTTGCCGTAATGTCCGTCTTTCCGTGACCAGGACGATGAACGTATCTCGGAGCGGGTGCAGTCAGAGAAGACCGTCCCACCTTCTGTTGTCTTTCACACTTGTTGCCTCTCCTTCTCTGGCAAGACGGGTTCTCCAGCCAATGAATCCCAGATAATCAGGAAAGGACGTTACGCCAGGTCCGCTCACACGCTCTTGCCGTCGGGAGCCTGTGAGTCAGTGCGACGATAACGTCCGTGGTGCAGGCGCCTGCTGGTTGCAAATAGACGGGCCCGACGAGATGAGGCCTGGCGATGGCAGAAGCGTCGCGGAGGGGATTTATGCAACGGTCGGTCGGGTTCGGGTGGCAATCCAAGACACGCAGCTCGCAGCCCCGGCGTTGAGGGGAGCAAGGTCGGGTGGTGGATATGGTTGTTCGGATAATTTGGGCGCAGTTCGAGGGATCCCAAATAAGAAAACGATGTCGTCACTTCAGGCAGAGGAGAACAAGAGTCATGGGGGAAAAGCCCGTGCCACTGGTCCAGTACCGAACTGAGGATATGCGTGGGTTCTGGTCGCAGATCGCGCCGAGGTTGCGATGGCTAGGACGGCGTAGAAACGGAGATCAAAGCGATTTCTCACACGAAGGGCGTCCCTCGGATGGTGAGGATTCGGTCCTTGGGTAGGTTTGCTTGTGCTTCTTTATTCAGGCTGGCGGCGTGCGATCCTCCCTCTTTGTCCGGCGGCTCCTTCGCGTTAGTCAGAAGAGCCCACTGAGTCGCCGTTGGCCCGTGCTATCGGCGGTTCTGCGGTTGGGAGTGGGTTGTGGCAGTGAGTGGGCGGGCGGGTGGAGGAGGGAGCGAGTGACGAAGCGGGCGGAGACAAGTTTAAAGAATATGAGAGGGGGAGGGCGAGAAAATGAAGGAGAGAAAAATCTAGAGAGAGGGGGGCGCAGCAGGCGAAGCAGGCAAGTCAATGTGTCGCGCGTCCCTCCTCGGAGGGTAGGGTATGGATTGCAGGTTCTACTTGGGATCAAGGTAGGTAGGTTGGCAATAAGAGTGTGCGTGTGTGCACGCCTGAGTCGAGTTGGGTTGGGTTGGGTTGGGTGGTTGTGTTTTGCCGACAGGATCCGACAAGATGGCGTGCGCAATGCAAAGTATAGTTTAGGAATGGGCGCGGGGACGGCAGACAGACAGCCTGGCGGGCCCGGGCGACGAGGCGAGGCGACGATGAGTCCTGTCCTGTACGTGCGGGTAGGACGGGGATGGATACGACAGTGCAGAGCAGGGCAGAACTGAGCAGAGCAGCAAAAAGGGGGCTGCAAGGTCGCAGGACTTGCAAAATGGGAAGAGTGGGAGAGATTGGCGCCCAGTTTTGTGCATGGGAGGCCATACCAGACCAGGCCAGTGAGACTGTCGGCTCCTTCGCCCGCGGTGACTTTGTGACTTTGTGCTGTACACTGGCAGCCCGCGGCAGCGGCCAGCAGCCAACAGCCCAGCAGCAGCCAGATGAAATGGACCAGACCGATCTGCAGCAGAGTCAGTGAGTCGCCGTGGCCGCGCCAACAATGTGGAGGGAGGGGAGGGGAGCAGGGAAGGGTGGTGGATGGGCCAGGGCCGCATGGCCAGGGCCCAGTTGCAGCAGCTTGCATCTTTCCGACTTGCAACTTGCTGCTTTGCTCTGCCCAGGCCACCGAGAAGACCACCCAGCCAACCAACCAGCCGGGCCAGCCAGGGCCCAGGACTCGCCAGGGGCCCCAGCTGGAGGGGCGCTTTTTTTCTTTCTTTTCTTTTGCTTCTCTCTTCTCTTCTCGGTCCCCTCGTCAAGGTTGAGTTGATGGGATGGGAAATCTGCGAGTGGTGGCAGGCAGGGATCATCCAAGACAAGCGGGCCTGTGATGTGCTCCGGTTCTCTCTTGTCCCCAACTCGAGAATCGCCCGGCCCGCCTGGGCATCAGCCATCAGCGGCGCCCTGCTCGGTACCTGACAGCTGCCTATGCAAGCACGCGCAGCACGCAGCACCGACCTCGTCACAGGCCCCACCGCAACCCAGAATTCCAATGTCCAGCCTCTCCATCTCTCACCAGCGACCCGGGCGGAATGACACCAGCCTGGGCAGGGCCCCGGCGGAGAATAACATGCGCCTGTCGTGATGTAGGTGGGTTTGATGCCGGTATTGGAATGTCATCACGGCCACGGCCGTGCCCGCCGCCCTCTGTGCCGCTCTAGTCTGTGGCCGCTGGTCTCAAGCCTCTGGTCTCCTCCGGCCTGCGCTGCGCTGCTCTGCTGCTGCCCCATCTCTTCTGCCTGTCCGGCCACGACCTCCTCCCGTCTCGTGTTTGAGACTCTGAGCTCTGGCGCGGTAGCTTGGGAGGCAGTTGGGAATACAGACACCATGCCAGTGTCAGGTGGTAGCACCCTCTCCTGCTTCTATTTCCAGGAAGGGGGCCGAGACAGTCGGCGGCCTGTTGTGGCGGCCACACAGACACAGACAGACATACACAGCCCGGCCAGAGGGCGTTGCAACGGCGCCTCTCTCGAGAGAGAGTCCTCAATCCTCCAAGGTCCCAAAAGTATAATAGCGATGACGCCCGCAACACCTGACCGGTGGTTGCAATTTCCCGTCGCATTCCCTCTGATCATGCTACGATGCCGCACTGGTGAAGAATTCCGGAGACCCAGAGTTGGGCCTGGGCAGGGTGGGGTGGGTAACAGAAACCGAATCCTTCAATCCGGCCCGCTCCCCACCAGCTGGTCCCAACTCCCACGAGGGAAGTCCAAGCTCCTCCTGGCTGTGATCGACCCGCCAGGTGCTGTGGCCTCCTCAGCATCTAAGCAATGGGGTTCTGGTGAGAGCATCACCGCCAATGGCCCTCTGCTGTGATCGATCCACTGTGTAGATTGATGCTAGTCTTGGGAGGTATGTGATGGGCAAAGAGTTTCGCACGATGCTGCAGTGGAATTGGCTTGGTCTGGCCTGGCATGGCTGGCCCACACCACCCAAGTCTGCAGGGGTTTCCTCGATTTCTGGTCGAAACGGCATCAAGTGCTGTGCATGTGCCAGGGGGCCGCTGATCATTGATCACCTGGACGGTCTGTGCATTCCGTTGCTCTATTGTGCCGCTACCGTGGTACTTGGGTGGAAACCAATTGGAGGCAATCCATGACAGCTATCATCTGCTATTAGCCTACACGGTCTGGGCTGCACCAGGTACCGCTCGTCCCAAGCTTGGAGATGGTGGGTGTAAGAGACGAGAGATATTTCAAGGTGCGTCTCCTCCCATCCAAACAAAGAATCGTACGACAGTGCGTCCGTAACTTCGGAGTTGAATAAATATAATCATTACCAAAACCTCGGGGTTAACCCACCAGTCGCATCCCAACAGGCTGGTAAAGGGCCCCCAATGACCATCATGCGAGTTATTAGATCAGACAGCGCACACGCAGCACCCGCCGGTGACTCGCCGTGATCGCGGGCGTCTGTCAGTCACTGACAGTCAGTTTGTCTCGGCCTCTTGCCTCGGATGGCCGCTGTTCCATCGGACAACGCCCACGCAGCCACGCCTCACCATCTTCGAAACAAAGGCCCCCATGCCAGTACCCAATCACCAGCGCACCACACCTCTTGGACTGCACCATCGCATTCATGCCCCTCGTCCCCAGGGTGGCAGCTAGCCTCGAACGAGCGAGCGGGAACAGCGCGGGAGACAAGGGGACCTGCCTACCTGATCGGTCACGCACAAGGTCGCTTGCGAGCCGGATTGTCGCTCTGCCACGAGGCTGTCCCTTGTCAGGACCTGGGTCCGGCACTAGGCGGATGAGGAGCTGTTCCTGCCACGGAAGCCAGCGATATCAGAGCGATTGCGGAATCTTATCAGTTGATTAGCCTTTGGCAGTGTGAAACGAAGGTGGGCTCGCCACAACCAAGCGAACTGCTGGCTTGGCCGAGCTTGTGACGACAGGTTGGTAAGCACCAAGGAAAGTCAACTAGAGATCGGGGATCGTACTGAACCCTGCTTCTTCTCACTTGCCCGAGCGAGGGCGAGGCTCGTGGAGACAAGAGATCAACAAGGCGGTCCTCCGGTGTCCCAATTTCGGCCTCGGATCGCAAGCATATGCCATCGGACCTGCATGTATTGCTGGTTTCCCTGCACATGTGACGACACGAAATCCTATTCTTCCACGTCTAAGGTACGCACTTGGGTCTCCTCAGACGGACATCAGCCTCTGCGACAAGAACAAGCAATACACGTATCGCAGTATCTAACTTGGCGTGCCAGCTGCCCCTCAAGTTAGAATGCCGAACCTTCCAAGCTACTGTATGTACGTGCCAGTCGGTTCCCCTGCAGACTAGCGCCGCATGGCTGCTGCTGCACGACGGCGACAGGAAGCCTAGAATATGCACATCAAAATGCAGGTCCGGGGCAGCGACAAAAAAACGCCCGCAGCTAGCTGCTACTGCATGTAGGCAGTCTACTCGGACCACTGTCACAGCCGCGTTAATTCGCGTGTCCAGTCCGGATACGAAGAAAAGAAGGGAACGGGGCGAGAGGTATCATTCTAGCCCCCGTCCACCCCATCCAGCCTTACCAAACGGTCGACCGAAAAAAGAGGCACAACGACTCATGCGGAGAGAGATCCTGGTGTCCAATCCGGTATGCCTGCATGGTGGTCTGCTGCACACGGTGGGATGGAACGAACGGCGGGCCCGGCCGATCATTCGCGGAGCCGTCGTCCTATTATTATGCGCGGAACGCGGCGGGTTGGGGCGCGCGTCGTCGCTTCTGGCGGGACGGCCTTTTTTTTTTTTTTTTTTTTTTTTTTCCTGCTTCTCTATTTTTCCCATTTCCTTTTGCTTGGTTAATCAAAGAGCACCCGACTCTGATCCTGCATCTTGCAGCTGATGGCGACTGCTGCGTGATTCATCTGCATGCAGCTTTGGGGGCCAACCTGTCCCTTCGCTACACCAGCTAACCACACGAGAATGCCATTATCGTGCTCGGCCCTGCAGCGTGGGGGACGATGAATGACATCAAGGTACTAAAGTGCGGACCCTCCGTCTACGAAAACGCATGTCAGCATTGTCTCGTCAAGTACTATACGTATGTGGTGACCCTTTTCCAGAGGGACGCCCGACTCAGGTCCCGACCCCAATGCCTGTCGTCGAACATGCAGGCGGGCCCGGTCTGATCCCCGTCGCCATGCACACGATGCTGCATGGAAGTTTTCCTCGTCATCTCACAGGGCGTTGGATGCCGTCTGGAATAGATTAACCCACTGGGCCCCCGGTAGCCCCGGTCTGGCCATCGGGCTGCCAGGGACCCAGCTGGGATGCAACTGCCCCTGTGCCGTCGGCGGGGACCAGCTCCCGGTCCCTGGCCTCGATGTCGCCCGCGATCCGGAGCCAAGGCCCACGTCAACCAAGCTTTTTTTTTTTTTCACATCCCAAAATGGTTTTTGCTCGTACTTTTTTAATTGTACCTTGCTTCCCCCCACGTTGGGATCACGTCTGTGGGTATGACCAGTCACAAAACATATCCAAAAAGATCGAGAGTAACACTTGACAAATTCTCGGGCGAGAAATTGCTGCTGTTCTCGAACCATCTGGTGGTGCCTCGCAATCATCCTCCGGCCCCGTCGGTTTCCAATAGTTGGCTGGGAGCCTGTGCTCTGCCCCGCCATCCATTGATTTCCCTATGGACCCCTCGACTGACATGCCTGAGCAATGGAAGTCAATGCCACGAGGAGACATCCGGACGCGCATCGCACGCACCCTGGGCATCAGGTCGCCCATGCCGCGGCGTCCCCACTTTGGGCAATGCCGGCACGTGCGGAAGCAACACACAGACGCTGGCAGGATCCGGACAATCTCGAGACCATTTTGGCTCTACAGATTCCCGTATCCAATGTGTCAGTGCTGGGCAGGCGGGCATCACAGCATCACGGCGACAGGGCCGTTGGCCTGTGATGGCGGGTGCAGTGGTGCAACATGGGAAAGGGCAATTGGCGGGCAGCAGGCAGGGCTCTCTGGCCACCAACAGGATCCTCCCGGGCGCACTCGGCGATAAGCTCCAGCTCCCGGTGTCATCGAGCCCCAGTGGCCCGCCATGCGTGATGCTTTTCACGGCCGTCCCCATTGCTCATGGTCGGATTAAGCTCACAGGCGCATTTTCTTGGCCTCTCTCATGAGTGGCGCGCCGTCACGTCTTCCCGATGTAGCAGGCCGGCTGGTCCCTCCTTCACGATGAGACAGCACACTGAAAGTCAGAATTTCCGGTTTGCGCACCATCATTCCCGCCTTTGCAGCAATGTCCTGTCCAGTCGCGGGATTCCCCAGCGCGTTTCTCATCGTCAAGGCATAGGCGATTACGTGGACTCGTGCAACGGGGGTGGAAGACACCATGACAAATTCCCAACTGCGAACCCTCCCCCATTCCCTCATGCACGACATACACCGCACCCAGCCCTCCCAGGCCGCGGCGCATCACGGGCCCAGGCCTGGTGATTTATGCTGCTGGTTAGGAATATTGCCCGATGCAGCAAATCGTGAGCAGTGGCACGGTCGGATCCAAGCTGGCCCGCGCAAACATGAAACCCGCGAACCCAAGGGCCCGCCCCCGGAATCATGAAACAGTGACGGCTGCCCGGGGGGGGGTCTAGCATGCCTGCTTTGCTTGCCTGTGCTTTGCCTGGCTTCTGGTTTCTTTCTTTCTTGCGGCTCTGCGCGCCGATCAATGGGAACTCCCCACCCTTCGTGCTTAGTGCGCGGAGCCCTTGCTCGATCTGTACCTGACAGCACTCCCCTCCCCATGTCGACCAGCCACGGAGACTTTTGCCTGCTCTGATCGAACATTCCGCCTGCGAGCCGGGCACGCATCTGATGAGGTCGCATTTCCATCGGCCCTGGGTGAGCTTACCTGGTGACGTCGGTATGATCTCACCTCTTGTGTTGCTAGTCGATATTGTGAGCGATTGGCTTGCCTCAGGCGTGAGCGTGTCCATTGGGTCTCAATTCTAACCATGGCAAATCAATCCTGTTGAATTATCTTATCGAAACTTCAAACAAACAAGGTAATCCCATTTCTCTCCCTCATCGTCCAGCGGACAATACTGGGCTGTCCCCATCAGCTGTTCACAGTTGTAGGGGGATCTGAGAGCTCTTACATTGTCGAGTAGCGCGAGGTCGGCCCGAATTCAGCTCGCGCATAGTCTCTTGCCATGAGAGGCAAATTAAGCTTAATTGTCACTTGAAGATTCGAAATAGAACCAAGTGAAACTCTCGCTAGTCTGACCTGCTCTGCAACTGCTCCGCTGGAAGATTGGCGTGTACGAGTGTGACAACCAAGTTCATCCACTGAAGGATAAATGTAGCCCAGGAGGGGTTCCAGCGTGGAACAATATCACGGCGGTCCTTCCATACATATGATACTCGGTTGGGGTTGGATACCGTCGATGAGCCGTGTGGTCTTGATCAGTCTTCCGCAGAGGATTGGGAAGTCCTCTTTCGCATAAAGGGTCTTTCTCAGGCCAGCTGGTCAGTATCAGAATGATCTTTTAAGCTTCTGCCTCGGCATTCCGAGACACAACACGTCCAATTCCCCGTCAAAATCACCATATTCAAGCATTGGCCCCGAGATCTTCGGAAAAGTCTTGCGCGTTCTGCTGACGAATTGAATCAGTGGTTTGTATGAAAGCAGTATTTCCTGCATGGGGCCTTTTGTCCGTAATTTGGTTGAGCTCTTATCTTCATATCATCAATCGAGCAAAACTTCTTCTTGGCAGTCTAAAGTGATTGTGAACAAGAAGAGAGGTGAGGAAGTTGCATTGAGCTCGTCAGCAGCGTAGACTCGTGCGCATGTTGGTAGCAACGGCTCAGGTGTCGAAATAATTTTAGTACCGTAGTGACCGTCCCCGTCTTGGGGTTCAAATGCGCTGTTCAAAGTAAAGATGACTTCTCAGGGATTCATTCCAGTCGGTTTGACTTGCCTGGCTTGTATATGAGTAGTGATGTTTAAACTAGCCACATTCAGAGCATCTGATGCTGCCACATAGCGTGGAAACGACCCAAGATCTCTGTCTAATATTGGCAACGTCTGCCCTACTTCTCAAAGGATTTGGGTCACGGAACTGAAATCAATCTCATTGTCGATTTCCAAGGTAGCGGAAGCGAATAAGTTGCTCCCTCGGTGTTACTCCTAAGATCTCTGTTGTCTTCTTGCAAGTCAGGAACGCAAAGATCAGTTATCTAAAGCAAACAGAATTTTGCACATCGTGTAGCACCCCGTATCCGCGGAAGCGAATTCTGCGAAAGCTGCTTATAGCAGTCTTCATACAATGTTGGACATATGTGCCCTTGGATACTCCCGCAGATATGAAGCCACAATCAAAGACAAACAAACTTTTTGATCAAGTTCACATTTTTGTGGGTGAAAGCGGCCTTGATATTTGTAAGGACCATGGCACGAGTCTCTGCATCTACAATTCTGATCATCGGTGTCTTGAGAAGTCGTCTGACCTCATCCGCCTTGTCACAATCATCTCCCGTCACGTTGACCAGGCTTCTCCATGGATTATCGCCGATGCTCTGTAGTGACAACTCGGCATTGCTTGGCGTCTGATTTCGTCTCTCATGATGACACCGACAAGACCAGCGTTGCTGATCAGTGCGTCTGCTACCAGCCTATTAGTCTGACCGTTTGTGTTTTCCAGTCCCAAGTCTTAAGGGTCGGTTCTCACTTTCAGCATATCTGATTCACAGTGCAGGTGGAACTAACTCAATTGAAATGTGTGCGTGTATCATTGCTTGTTCCTTGTTTGATTGTGCGATACAGAAGGCACGCACAAGCCAATCATACATGCAGACAGCTGCGCTTTCCCTCTGGCCCACCTGGCCAAGGTCCATGGTTCTTACCCTACCTGGCGACGACAACGTCCCTTACCGAAAAAGCCTCCATCGGGACCACACAGCATCACACACGGCCGGCCATTCTCTATTCATCAGCCCACGTTGAAGCTCAGACAAGACCCCACAGAGTTTCGCTGCGACCGGCACATCAGAAAACCCTCATCATTTTACCACTTTGAGGTTTGATCTCTGTGTCAACTGATTTCTTTTCATGCAGTGGTCGAATCGTCCTTGCCTTTCTCAGTTGAGAAGTCTGGGCGACGTCGTTTATTTGGCCGCTTTCACCTACATCAGACTACCTTCCCACGCCATGACTGTAGAGCCTCCAACCAATGTGGAACAGACTGCAAGCATCGACATTCTTACGAGCGACATTAAGACGCTTGAGGCGCTGCTCAGGCATGGCCAAACCACAAGTTGATGCCTTGTGGAGGCTTACTTACCTTGCCTAGATCGAGAAACATGATGACTATCTGCATGCCATGATCCAGGTAACTCCGAGGGAGTTCCTCATCGAAAAAGCCGATAGCCTTGACGAGGGGAGCAAGGTTGGTAAGCAGTGTGGACCACTTTGTGGAATTCCGATCATAGTCAAAGTATGCTCTGAAAATGGAATAACATGTCATTTCCTAAATCCCTTAGCTAATCGTTCCAGGATACACTGGCTACCCATCCGTCCCTCGGGCTGGGAACCACAGCCGGCAGCTTGTCACTCATGGGTTCCAAGCCTCGGAAAAACAGCAGAGTTGTTGAAATGGTGTGATCACCTTTCCATAGATGCCAGCGTCTTGAATCATCGACACTCACTCACTGCCTTAGCTGCTCGCTTCGGGTGCCGTCATTCTGGGCAAAGCAAACCTCAGCGTGAGTTTGTCACCCCCGAACGTGTTTACAAGTTACCGACTGAGATTTAACATTACATGACGCAGGAATTCTCCAACTCTCGGTATGTATTCGCATAACCTGATTTTCGTGTTCGTCATGTTGACCTAGCAGTGGTTCAATGATGCCGAGCGGTTGGTCTGCAGTCGGCGGACAAACGCAATCCGCGTATGTTCGCGGGGGCTTGGACCCAAATGACACTAAGGATGGGCACAGCGTGAGTCAAGCGCTGCTTCATTGTACCTTGATCAGTGCTGATGACTGAAATGCATCCCACAGTCCTTCTGGATCGTCTTCTGGTTCAGCAGTAGCTGTGTCAGCTGGCTACGCCCCTGTCTCGATTGGGACAGAAACGGATGGCTCACTGATCGTCCCAGCTGGAAGGGCTGCCTTATACACCATCAAGCCCTCCATTGGCCTGGTGCCGCAGGCTGGTATAGTGCCCATGTCGAGCCACTTTGATTCGGCGGGTCCCATGACAAAATCGGTTTACGATCTGGCGATTCTCCTGGACGCGATATCCGAAAAAGACCCCACGGTTTCTTTCACGTCGAGTCTGACTGTTCTTGGGACGACATATCGGTGGAAACCTTAGACCCATCAAAGTGGATGTTCCCGGTCAGCTCCATCAAGCCCGTGCCGATGGCTTCTGAACAAATAGTGAGAGCTACAAGGCTTGGTGGCGTAACCAACAGCACTTGATGCTGACGTCGTATCTCAGTGCGAGGACATCACCAACGCACACGAGGTTGTCAAAGGCAAGGCGAAGAGCTTCGCTGCGAACGTACCGCTCCCCAGCATCGAGGGCTTCAAATTGAACGGCACATACAGTGATGTGGTGGCTGCGAGTACTTTTATTACAGGTTGACCCTCTTCGATTCCTACTGATCACTCGACAGGAGCCGACCTGAAGAAGGAGCTCAACGCCTACCTACAAGACCTCGAGGAGAGCCAAGTTCGGACCCTGCAAGACATCATTGACTTCAACACAGAGCACGCCACCGAGGAGCTTCCAACGCGTAGGCCATTGTTCCATGATGGGTTTGTCTGTATCATCAAAGGCTCACATTCCTCCAGATCACCCGAGGCAAGACGAGTTCTTGAAAGCGCAAGAGCAACAGACTTCACCAAAGGATTACGAAGAACACTTAGCACATCTGCGCCGTGCTGCTACTATTGACGGTATTGACCATATCCTCGATGAATACGGTCTCGATGTCATAATTGGCCCTGCTGATTCATTCATTACCAGCTTCGCCACGGGTTCTGGTGCGTATAAAGTTACATCTGTGTGTCCCTAAAGATATTTCTCAGTTGACCCAAATTCAGGGTATCCCATCGCAGCCATGCCACTATCATATCTGCGTTTCAATGGTCGACCTCTGGGCGTGGCTGCTATTGCGCGGAAGAACCAAGAAGCTCTACTGGTCAAGGTGATGAGTGCATGGGAGGCAACATTTCCGGCACGTCAACCACCAAGACTGGCAGATTGAATGTAGAATGGCCACCAGCAGAAGATCATGAGCTATCTTATGGGTCTGCCATGTATGTTCCATCCACGCAGCGCCAGCAGCAAGTTCGGATTGCCCAGTGGTAATTTTGACTAGAATGGCCTCCGGTATCCAATAAAAGCATCTACTTGTCTCCTAACTGAAATTGTCATGCAATGCTTAAGATTGCAATTAACTGCGCTAGAGTAATATCCCTTCAGTAGGAATAGCAACCGAGTCTATGGGGCAGCTACTCTATGATTTCGATGCATTGCCGTCGTCCTGCGGGAACATAGCCACGGTCTCCGCCCTATTTCGATCATGGTCGTAGCATCTTCTTCATGACTGAAATGTCTGTCGTAGTAACCCTCGTATTTTTTCCAGTAGATTGGTAGTTGCGGACTTTCTTGTCTACACTAGAGGACGGCCGATATTGGCCGGCGGCGCCAGCTAGAAGTTCTGCATGAGCTTCCTGGACACTGCCCGCATTGTTCTTTTTTCCTAGGAGGTGCCACCACGCGCCTTCTCCCTTTACGGCCGCTCGTCGGGGGCTGAAAAATGGTCATCGGTGGCGATCAGTACACGCAGTCTGTCCCGGCCGCGACGGCGTGGCTGTAATCCCACTCAGTTGCCCGTAGCCGGCATAACTCCCAAGATGAAGCCGTCAGTAAGAAGACCGCGCCGAAGTGAACAAGCTCATTAGAGCGGTAACTCTCATCGATCCATCGCCGTCACCATCGCGGTTCGCTCGTTCCACTCAAACCATCCGGCTCGTTCGACTGGCAAGATCGACTTGCCCCGACAGCCGAATCGTAGCCTCCACAGTCTCTGTTCGGCGCAGACGAACATCTCTCTTCGAGTCTCGTCCTGCCGGCCGAAGCAGAAACTGGTCACACCACCTGAATAAACCCAAAATACGTCAGCCTACCGTGGTCCAGTTTCACAAGGAATATTCGGAGATCACCCGAGGAGAGACTCGGAAGTGGAAGAAGGCGTGGTGGTGATATAGTATCTCGCCATGGATGCACATCTATTAGTGTCATTACTACGTTGGACTCACCGGGTATTTCGACAACAGCCTGGAGCATACCGCCCGAGTTCCAGATCTCTATGCCGCCAGAACAACCAGCGTATACAAACCCGTTTGGGTCACATTTTATGCTGGCCGGTATCCCTGTAGTTGGCACGGCGAAGACGCGCTTGTTGGCGAGGAATGGCGAATCGGCCCTCATCACCACATCAAAGGCAAATATGGTCGAAGCCCTGTGTCATGTCAGATATACATCTGCAAGCTCCCTAAGCCTTTGAGGAAGCTCTTACCTCGGGGGTTCCATGTCGCCCTCGCCCCTGATGGCATCCGCATCAGTGATGTACACCGTACTCTCATCCGGGCTGAAAGCAATCCCCATAGGCCGGACCAACCCATCCGCCACGACCCTAAGGTCCTCAGACTCCGGGTGGAACCTGTACACGCGGCAGGGCAGCACCGGCCTCGGGCGAAACCCCCGCTCAAAGCCGCGGCACGGGTCCGTAAACCACAGCGCCCCGTCCCGCGCGGCCACGGCGACGTCGTGCGGCGAGTTGAAGTCGCGCCCGTAGAAGCCCGTCACTAGCGCCTCGGGCGGCTTGCCCCTCGGCATGAAGTACAGCCCGCCCGTGCTCCCCTCGGCCAGGCTGCCCTGCGAGCAGAACACCATCCCGCCGGGGTACCCGGGGTACCGCGCGCCGCCGGCCGGCATCGTCATGCTGTGCGGGGGCCGCAGCTTCTGCCACTCGACCGCGACGACATCGTCGTCGCTGCCGCCGACCGGGTCGTCGTCATCCTCGTCCGTGGTGCCGGCATGGCCGCCGCCGTGGGGCCTGCTCCTGCGGCGGAGGTTCACGCGCGAGATGAGCACGACGGGCAGGGAGCTGGTGCTGGTGGTCTGCAGCAGGTCGGAGGTGACATACAGCTCGTCATGCTCCGAGTTGTAGATGCAGGCCTGGTGGAAGAGGGGATTGCGGGACGTTTCGGCTGTAGAGAGCAGAAGGGCGTGCCGGCAGCGGGGGTCGAACGCGGTCCCTGAGGTCGGCTGATAGAGTGAGATGACCGGGTCGCCCTCCTTGGGTGAAGCGGGGGTTGACCCGGAGACCGATGTGGCCCTGCGGTCATGGTTAGCAATTGGAGGCTTGGTGACCACTCTGATGCAGCTTGGTCGGACAAACAGTGGTGTTGCGAGCCGGCCGGATGGTCTGTACTTGACTAGCTTTTGGCGGTGTTAGACACGACTCTCCGCGTCTGACTGTTTGTCTCGGACGAGAGACGCACCTGGGCCGGTGTTGCAGCAACCTCGATGTCTGAAATAGTGATGGACGTCATTGCTGATTAGCCTAGACAAGGCGTCCGGAATCGAGTGAGTGGCTGAAAGCTAAAAGGGGCTCACTGTCTAAACAGCAAGTTGGAGTTCGCAAGTCCGGCGTGTTCAGCTGGCAGGGGCCGAGCAGACTCGGCCCCGGAGATAACTTGGTGGAGCGAACGGCGCCGTGAGACCGGACCTGAATCACGCTAGCGACGGCCCTTCCTTTCCACACGTTGGCGAAATGGGAGACGGGGTTTAGATGAGTGAATTGAGACAACAGAAGCGAATGCTTATGTCCGAGAAGGTTCGCAAGGGATTTGGGGTCATCTTCAGAGCTCAGATTACAATGTCTCAAACATTTATTCGCAGATGTCCTACTACCTAGGTACGGGAACAGACACCCTGCAGGCACTGCTCTCAATTTCGTTACATCAATATACTTGGCAATATGACTATTATTCTCGTGACAGGAGCTAACCGTGGTATCGGGTTTGCCATTGTACAAGCAGCGGCGGGCAGAATCCTCGAAGCAACCTTCATCCTCGGCTGTCGTTCCTTGGAAGCGGGGCAGGAGGCTGCCGAAAAGCTTCGCGGCTTGAATTCAAAGGCCGTATTCGACGTTGTCAAAATTGACATCGAGAATGATGAAAGCATCCTCACAGCGGTGAAGTACATCACTGAAAAGTATGGGAAGCTAGACGGTCAGTTTGCCCCGTGCTCAACGACTTTGCCCAAGGCTGATAGTGACCCGTGAAGTCCTCATCAATAACGCTGCCGGGGTCAGCCATCCAAAGTCTCAAGACCTCCAAGATGCTCGGGCCAATCTCAACAACGTCTTCAACAATGCCGTCGCATCACCTGCAATGGTCACCAGGGCATTCCTGCCCTTGCTGCGGAAGAGCGACTACCCCAGAGTGATCATGAATTCAAGCGCTCGAGGAAGCCTGGAGAGAACAGCAAGCAGAAATGTGAGAATCAGGCATCCCCTTCAATTGTTCCACACTGAACGAGATTTAGCTCCCACCACCGAAATCCGTGGATTACAACATAGCGAAGGCCGGCTTGAACATGTTGACATTGCTGCTGCAATTGCTTGACGAATCGAATGCCGTTGAGGAAGAAAGGATTTGCTTCTGGGCAGTCAGCCCAGGACACACCAAAACTGGCTTCAACAACTTCATGGGAGCCAAAGATCCCCTGGACTCTGCTGAAGCGTTCTTGAGGCTGCTGCAAGTCAAAAAGGGCGTGGTTCCGCCAGGCACGTTTTGGGAGTTCGAGGAAGGACAGTTTAGAGCTGTGCCATGGTAGATCTGGAAAGATGCATCTGTACGCAGTTCGTAATCGAGAAATGTATTCGCATCGTCGGCCTTGCTAAAGCACGTCGTGGCAACAACCCTGAGCTTGCACATTGACGTGATGGTGCAAACCCTGCAGAAAGCCGCAACAGCAGCTCGGCACGAGTGTCTTTCAATTGCCTAGTACCTGTCCCGTCTATAAGTGTACAGTTGACCCAGAACCAGGCTTGGGTGATTCATAATCCCCGCGTCGTGCGTCCGCTGCAGTCTAGTGCTTGTCTTTCGCCTTGGAGTCCGCCTCTGCCTGGTCAATGAATTGCCTGAAAGGTGGTCAGTGGTTGAGAGTCAAGACGTCGGGTTCGTGGGCTCAAGTACTTGATGAAGTCGGCCTCTTCGTTGCTTGATGCGTTGATGGGAGGAGTCTGGGTCGCGGCCTTGCTGCCGCCGCCGAGAGCGAGCTTGCTACCGCCGAAGAGGGCGCCCAGGACACCCATGGCGAGCTGTAATGCATCACAGTCAGTTCCGACGTTGTCAATTGGGTTCGGGGATGAATTGGCTGCTGTCGCGAGACCGGAGGAAATCGGAGGGGCAGGCGCGGGCACTGACGTAGTGAGAGCCGACTCTGGCGCCGAGAACGTTGTAGTATTGGACCATCTTGACTGTGGGATTGAGGCCGGACTTCGCGATGGGTCGGGGTTGTGAGAGGTGTTGTCGAGGGGAAGCTATTCGTGCTCGGCGTTGAGAAACGACGCAACGACTCAATGGACAAGCTTCCCTGCGGTTGCTGAATTTGCGGGTGCCTCAGGCAGGAATATCGGGTAAATAGCCGCGAAAGATCGGGTACCTGGCCCGTGCCTGGATACCTGGGGAGAGACAAGATCTAAGCGCGCAGAGTCCCACCCGCGCTTTCTGGGGGTTGCAGCATGGAGAAAGCGACGTCATGTACCTTCCATCGTCTTCTGAGAATTGAAAGCTGCAGCTTCAAACGCCACCAACACGAGCGAAATCTAAGCAACGTCAATCCGGATCCCAAGTAGACCCAGCATTCCTGTCGCAATACCAAGCCATCATCTCTCAGAATGTGGTGGGAAAAGGGCTCAGACAAAGATTCAAAGGCGCCGCCCAAGGACGACGCCTCAGCTGCAGAGCCAGGCAAGAGCAGTGCTCCACAGCCTGCCCCATTCGACCCGAACAAGCTCCCAAATCGCGAGAAGCTGCCACCTGCGCTGCAGAAGATAGTGGACAAGCAAGACAAGGATGAAAACTGGTATGACGAGCTTGTGGACGGCTAGTATGCCTCCCCTTCTCTTGCGATCGCCCCTGTTTTTGAAGGACTTGGACGGCTGACATCCACTTCATTACTTGAAGTGCGCCAGAGTCGACCGAGTCGAACGTACGATTCGCCGCTTATGCTGCACGAGTTCGGACAATACTGCTTTCTGCCCATCGCTACGTAGCTTGTACGTCTAGACCCATATTATCAGCGACCTCCCGGGATGCAGTCCAATGGCTCATACAACATGCGATCCGCGATATCAATGACCAATGCTTCTGAAGTCGTCTCTCATCAACTGACGCGCAGCTGATGGCTAACTCAAAACTTCTCAGATACCTCTGACATAGGAGAATCATTCCGGCCGGTCGCACATCCCTGGCTCGTCCGCGGCGCATACGGGGTCAGTTGGGCCTATATCTTGGGCGACGTGTCGTATGAAGGCTACAAAGCATACCTGCACAACCAACGTGCGCTGAACCCGCAGGTAGAGTTGTCAGAGAGCCAGCTGAAGATCTCAGGCCTGGAGGCAGCAGGAGCTCCGGATGCCCAGCCGAAGCCGGTGCCTCCCCTCGAGAACTACAAGACGGTCATGGCTCAAAGAGCTATCTTCCAGAGCGTGGCGAGTATGGGTCTTCCTGCCTTCACAATCCACAGCGTAGTCAGGTACAGCGGGAGAGCTCTCAAAGATGCCAAGAACAAGACCATCAGGACGTACGGTCCGATCGGCTTGGGCCTTGCTGTCGTTCCATTCCTCCCAACCTTGTTCGATAAGCCCGTGGAGAATGCTGTCGAGTGGATATTCCACAAGGGCTTTTCAACTATGGGTGGGCAGGACGCAGTGGGCGCGGCGCCTACAATGGGCAGGGAAAAGGCCTTGTCCACAAAACCAAAGGAAAAGGAACTGTAGAAGATTGGGAGAGGGCTTCGAAATAAACCACGCTGCTCCTTCACGACGTGAGGTGTGCCTCGCCACATCTCATTACTACTCTAGCGCATGTATTAAAATATCAAGTAGAAGAAGAGCTCATATAGTCGTATTATGTATTTGCTTCTGTCTGGCAAAAGTCGCCTCTGAACATGCTTAAACACTTGTCCCCTATTGTCCGACCGGAACCCAACGCCGACGCTATGAAACCGTCCCGTTTGCCAATCACTCTACATCTCAATCAAATCCGGCGCGGGTCCAACGCCGCGTAAAAGCACAATCGTATTGCCTGAGACAAGCGCGGCCCCGACCTTCTCGCTGAACTCCAGTACTCGTCCGCCCTCGACGTGGAACACCCTCAGCTTGTCCTGCTCGTTGCTGGACTGGTTGTTGACGTTCTCGACCTGCAGGCTCCGCGCGGCAGCGTCCAGGACCCGTCCTACCACCCAGTCCTTGGAGTAGAAGAACTGGCCCTTGGGTATCTTAGCCGTCGTCGTCGCTGCCTCGGCCTCCACAAACAGGTACACCCTCTTCTCCGGCGCCAGCTTCTCGTCGCCCTTGGCGGTCTTCTTCAGGTTGTTGACGGCGACGATGCGCTGTGAGGCGGACGTGGGCTTCGCCTTAGGAAGAGCGCGCCCGGCCGCCTCCCGCTTCGCCGCGCCCCACAGCCTCAGCTTCTGCAGGGCCGAGCGCGCCTTGTCGGCGGCCTGCAGGCCCGGCCGCGCGCCGAGGGGCACGAGGTTGTCGCAGTCGTGCTCCTCCTTGAGCCGGTGCTTGAGGCAGTAGTCCCGGTTGCACCCCTGGCAGTGCACGCCGGGGACGAGGCTCGTGCCGATGGTCGTCTTGCAGTCGGGCGACGCGCAGGGCTTCTGCGACACGTGGTCGCGCAGCTGCTTGCCGTCCCCCGCGCTCGGCCGCGCCAGCTGGGCGAGGCGCTTGCGCTCCGCCCAGGCGCCCTCGTTGGCGCACTTGTGGGCCGACTCGGTCCGGTGGTCCAGGCAGAAGGTCTTCTCGCATGACTGGCAGTAGAAGGGGAGGAAGTCGAGCTGGTTGCAGTACTCGGCCTCGCAGTGCTTGCCGACGAGGGTGGCGTCGGCGTATCGGGAGCGGTCGACCTCGGTCATGTTCACGTATGAGGTTTCCTGGCCCTCGGAGGATGACGATCGCTTTGCCATGGCGGGCGACGGGCGGACGAGGGCGTCGTGGTTGTCTCTTAAATAGGAATTGGAATGGGCGGAAGGCAGACGCGCCACGTCAGGTGGATGACCAATGCGGCACGGCACGGCACCTTTGGTCAAGGTAGCAGGTGGCCAAATGTGAGGTCGTGGCAAGGAAGAGGACCCTGACGATCGGTCACCCTGGAATGGCCTGGAAGTAGCCGGACATCCAGCGGGGAAGGACCCCCTATGGGGTAGGTTTAGTAAGCTATAGGGCTGATTGATGGGCGACTAGTGGGCTGGCTTCACTTTGAACGACAGACGGCTTAGTTCGAGCTGTAGGTCACTTCACTGCGTTTTCCTCTTTATGACCCCCCCCCTGAGGGCATTCGTTTGTAGATAAATTACTCTTATTCAAGTACTCATGTTTCCCAAACTCAAACTCCTCGGCACCGCCGTCATTCAATCATGCATCCGTGAATCGAGCGCAACATGGTCCTCTTCATCCACCGGCCCCCCTTCCATCCGGCCTCGATCGACTTGCAAAGGCTGTCTGCAGGATGCTTCCTCGGATAACACCATCAGAACCGGACAACCATCGATTGAACGGTTGGAATGTGGAATGTCGCCCGAAGCGTAAGTCAGAAGGGGCATTAAGGAAGGACTTGAGCGGGCTTACAGGCCAAGCTGCATCCCGTTCAGCACAGCCTACCTGGCATCTCGGCACTCGGTTTGAGTAGTTGTATGGCAATCCGGGAAATATCCTGACGACGTCTCTTGGCCTCAGAGTCTTTTCCGGTTGCCTTCATGACTTTAGCAAGACCGTCGTCAGAAGCCTCTGTCTCTGTTCTTCAGGACACGGAGGACGACGTCACGGTGTTCCAGGTTCGTTGGTACAATCCATCTCGGAAGGATGTTGATGTTTCCCCAAAATCCCCACCGAGAACAGCGCAATTTGCAATGCTCCTTCACATTTTGCCCTCATCGTACCAAGTCATCGTCGAGCGTTGAATGGTTACTTCGTGTCGGATGTGTATACCGTGCAAGGGAACTTGAACATCATCTTCGGGTGTGTTACCCCGCGTAGACAGTCTCTCGAATGGATGTCCGGCAGTATCTGGTCCAGCGACAGATGTCTTGCCACCAGAATGGCCGGCGATGATGGTAGTCCGTCCATGAACGTGAGACCTCAGAGACGACTGGGCCCCGTAGCCAGAACGCTTGCTTCCTGATGCATCATGCCAGAACCGACGGTAAAGGGGCTGTGTTTTTTTGGTTAGCTACTATCATGTCAAGAAAGTGAGGACTCGGGGGTGCTTTTTGTCGATGTTTCTCTCGGGTGAAGTTCTCAAGACTGGTTTTGTATTTCCCGAAACCCCGAGAGCAGAAAAGGAGAAGGGGGGGGGGGAGAGGCACTGACCATAAGGCATGGCAGGCATGCGCCGACGATGCCCACACCGATCTCCGCAACCGTCACAAACCAAGGTAGCAATAAATTGTTGGTCAGGTCGACACTATGCTTGAAGTAAAAAGCAACCAGTAGTATCAAGCGAACGATACTCGCGATGACAACCCTAGTCCGGGGAGCCATTGTCAGAAAGGGAAGAGACACATGCTATCTCCGGATGGGCACGACTCACATTCCTCCAACCACAAAGATACCCGAGACTGCGATTCTTTTCCATCGCTCCAGCTGAAGGTGCCAAACTTCGTACACTGGAAGGATCACAGTCAATGTGTCGATGATGATATTCGGTGCTGCAACGATAATCAAGTAAACCTCGACTCTGAAATGGCAGACACCAGTGCCAGGTGCTGACAACTTGTTCCAGAAGAAAGAGATCGGCTGGCACTCGACCAGATTGCCGATCAGGACGCCGATGAACCAGATCCCACATACAGCTGTTAATATCCAGATGTACTTCTTCATGGTTTTTGTCGGAAATATTCTCCAGTAATACGAAAGCACCGATAGCTTCATTATCGGAGACGCGAAAAGGTACGCCCACTCAAGCGCATATAAAAGCTGAGTCGTCGTTAGCCATATGCCGTTATGGCTTCCTTAAAACAGAGTATCTAGTCTTGACTCACCTTTAAGGATGTGACGGGAGCCATTGGCTGCTCTCTCACAGCCTGAGACATGGGTTTTCCTACACCACCTTCGTAGACTAACACCACGCTGAGTGCCAGGACAAAGTATAACAAGACAAGCGTAGCCAGAGCAAGCCAGTCGTCCAAGCCAATACCAAAGCGGCTTAATTTCCGTGACCAAAACCGTAGAATTACCATCAGAGTAGAGAACACCGTGAGGAAGTATGACAGCCCGAGCGACACATGCCCTTCGGTAGAGACGGTCGCCTCGACCGCCGGAGGCACGGATATCGACGATATATTCCTGGCCGCATGCATTTCCCTCATCCCGATTCGTGTCGGATCGCAGCTGTTGAGCGTCAACCAATATTGGCAAACAAGAAAGAGCTCGAGGCGTTATGTTCCGAGTCCAGGAGCACCGACAAACCCAGCCCCGGAGAATCTCAGCCCGCCTCGATTACAGTGGTTATTGTACAAATACCGCCCAACAGATTCCTCCTGCAGACGTCTGGACAGAGCTCGGTTCCTGCCGCCTCCGCGACATTCCTCCTGGGCTTCATTGCCGGAAACAGCTGCTCTGTGTCGTAAAACGAAGCAGATCATCTCGTTTCGGGCGTCCCCAAGCCCCAAAATTTCTTTGCCGAGCTTGGTGCTGACGATTCCCACCTTATTCATTGACCTTGTTGGTCTGCTCTCAATCTCCAGAGCCCGCTTCTACGAGTCAGCGCAGCGACCAGACTCACCGTAAACCCACGGCAGATCTTCTCGGTACCGGCACAACTCGATGGACCAGACAGATCCTCTGGCCGGGTAAGCGGTGCTGGCATGTGAGTGTCGCAGGATCCAGGGTGTCAAGCCAGCCCTTTCATAAGGCCATGTTCATCGCGATGATGGTCGACGTCCGTGGTCTGCGGGGCGACCAGCAAGGCTGCGCTGTGGGAATGGCGGTGTCCCCGCCGCCACGTGCTCCGTGTGGTCCGAGGTGAGGGCGAGCCCACACTCCTAGGATCTTCTGCCCGAAGTCTCAGCCCCCGTCCTCGGGCGTATCTACACTTCCGAAACGGGCTCCGTTGCTTCGGAGGGATTCCAGAACCTGTCACCTGTCAGAGGATTTCGCGTCTCCAGGGTAGCCTGGTTAAAACCCCTTGCGAGCTCAGAGACTTATCGCGTCGGTGGTTGCGGCCATGAGATGATCGAAAGAGGATGACGCGTCCGAGTGCAATGAGAAAGTATATCCAAGTTCACCTGGACACGCTCCTGTCCTGAGGCAGACGTCCAATGGATCCGGACCGACTCAAACGTTGAACCAGCATTGGGTTTGGGCAGTCTCACACGACATACCCATTCAAACGAGTGCCGCTCCGTGGGTGTTGGAAACTGTGAAGACCATGGTGCAGCTTTTATGCACACATAAACCTAGGGTGCAGATGTATACAGCGCTGACTTAGAAGCTATGTGGGTGCCCGGTGGGTGCAATGCAGCCGACTTATGCTTAGCGGCTTACTAAGCACACTTTATCCACCTCTACGGGGCTTTATTTACTTCGCCTGCCAGCCCCTCTGAGTTGTTTTCTTGTGGCTAGAAGATGGTGCAGACTTGAGTTTAATTAATTCATAAGGCCAGCTGCTTATGTCTCAGAAACCGTCTCGTGACAGTGGGCTATAAGACATGGCTAGTAAAGGAATAGAGAGAGACAGGGATATGGGATACGCCTAGGTAAGTAACACATGTAGAGGCGACCACAATCTAAAGGAGTATAGTATAGTGTGATGATCAGCCTCAGTTGGCGATAAACGACACTGTTTTGTGATGGTTGTTTGTTGATACAAACCGTCTCTGCAGGCGCCTTGCAGCCAAAGCATACCTACCTACTAGGTAGCTTCTTTCCTTCACACACATGCGGGTAGATCCAAATAATTCACATACCTGGAATACTTCACTAGATGAGCGACAAAAAAGTGGAGTGAATTTTATTTGCGAGATTCGTCTGCATGTGTATAAGATGCAATAAGCTATTTGATCAGAGCATGAATAAATCTTGAAACCTGTTGGCAAGTACAACCCTTGCACTTGGAAGGCTACTTTAGTTATCCCCTCCAGGGCACGTAGCCTCTTAAAACTTAAATAAAACAATATCAATACATAATTGCTTCTTATATAATTATTATATATACAAAAGACCTATTAATACTAATTAATAATTATAAGTACTATAAATTAATAAGGTAAAAAAGGCAACCTTATAAGGATTTCCTTAATTTAAAAATTATATCCTCCTTATTAATAAACACTATATAACAATAATTACTTCTTTAAACCTCCTTGCATTATTAAACTCCTTAAGCAAATATTATAAAGATTAAATAAATTAAGTAGCATTTCCTATAATATTTATATATATATTTATTACTATTTAAGAAATATATATTTATTATATATAAGACTTTATTAAAAATAAACTTATTTTTAAATTTTTTTTAAAACTTAATAAAACTTAATAAAGCTTTATTTTACTAAATAAATAAAGCTTATAATTATTATAATTACTAAATAAATAAAGCTTATAATTATTATAATTACTAAAGCTAATGCAATATTATATTATAAGTAAGCGTAAGTTATGCATTATACTTTTAGCTAATATAAAAAAACTTAATAATAAAAAAAAGCCTTAATTTTTAAAGCTTAAAGAAATTAATAACTTTTTCTTCCTAATAACTATAACTTGCTCCTTATTAAACTATTATTATTAACTTATTTTTAAATATTACTTATTTCATTAATATCTCTTTATTTTATTAATCTTACTCTTTATAATATTCACTATAAAAACTTATAAATATAGCTAATAATACTAAAAAGTTATTAGCTTTTATTAAAGAGTATATAATTAATAAAATGCTTGCTTAAACTTTAATTAACCTAGCTTACTATAAATATATTAACTTAAAACTATGGTTTATAACCCCTATATAAAAAGCATTAATAAAACACTTAATTACCTATTTAGCAAGTACTTTAATAAGCTATATATAATAAAACCTTTATAATAACAACCTTTTTATTACTTACTATAAAAATTATGCAATATAAATATAAGTAATATTTAAAATACTATTAAATCTTTGCTAATAATACTTAAAAGTCTTCCTTTAAATATAAAGCATTTATATAAAACGCAATAATTAACTTATAGCATTATAATTAATTGCTATAACTTAAGCTAAGGAAAGATTAAAATAAATTAATAATAAGCTTTATAATGCCTTATTAGCCTTAAAATTAAGCATAAATAAATATTATATATAACTTTAAAAATAGCAATTATAAGCATAGCCCTTATAAGCATTATAAGTAGGCTTTAAATAATAATAATTGCCAAGAGAATAATCCTTAAAATAACTTTTATTGCTATTATTAGCTTTAAGCATATAATTATAAAACCTAAACTTAATAATGCAATTCATTAAAAACTAATATGGCTAGCAAGGCTTATTATTATTAGTAAAAAGATGGAAATAAAGCTTATATTAAAGATATACTTTATACTTAACATAACCTTAAGCTGCCTTAAAAATACCTTTATTAAATAAAAAGTATAACCTATATAAAACTCTTTCCTTATAATATATTTTTAATAAATACTTAAATTTAGCAAAGTTAATATAATTTATAAAAACTTTTAATAACTTTTATAAGTATATTAAAAACTTATATAATTTACTAAATAATAAAATAAAAATATTTTTTAATATTTATTATTATATTAAAATTTAATTAAGTTAATTTTATGCGGTTTTTTCTTAAATACTTAAAAATTAAGCTAAGGTATATTATCTTTATTTTATAAATTAAATTAATATATTTATAATAATATACCTTAAAATTAAAATATATTTTAATATAAACCTTAATTATTAATATTATTATATAAATTAAATAATAATAATATTTATAAAGATAAAAGCATAAAACTTAAATAAAGACTTATATAAGGTTTTATATTTAATGCTTAATAAGCTATAACTTTATTAATAAGCATTAAGCTAAAATTATATTAAGAAAGATAACTTAAAAATAATAATAATTAAAGCTTATAAAGAAGTTCTTAAGCTAAAAATAGCTCTTTTTAAGTTAGCTTAACTATATAAAGAGTTATTTTTAAACCTAAGATTTATAATAAAAACATAGCTTAGTTATATAATTATAATTTACATTATAAATAAAGTCTTAAATTAATATTATATTAATTATAAATATAATGGTTAAAAGCTAAGAAAAGGATAATAATTGCAATTTTAAGCATTTTAAGGAAATTAAAGATTTAATTAACTAAACCTAAGCCATTTAAGCTTTAAGCAGCTAAGATTTTATAATATTAATCGTAAAGCTTAAAATAATAATACTTATAAAGAAGGAAAAGAATAATCTTAAAAGAAAAGATATTATATTTATAAAAAGGAAAAATGCTAGTGTTGGCGGGTGCAGGGAATTACGTGAGAAATGATACCGCGCTGAATTTTAGCTAGCTATAAAAAGCTAGCTTTTACGCTCATTCTAAACATTCTTTTAAGAAATTAATTCTTCTCTTTTCTTATATATTTAGTGCTTTAATTAAGCTTTTTTTATTTTTAAGAATTTTTAAAATATTTATCTTTTCCCTTTTTTTAATTCCCTTTTATTCTTATCTTTCCTTTTTATTGCGTTAAAGCTTTTTTTTAAGTTATTCTTAAGAGGATTTAGCAAAACCTATCTCTTATTATTTAAGTAGCTTGTTTTTACTAGTAATTTAACTTGGGCTAATTTTAATTTTATATATCTTTAATTAGTAATAAGAAAAATAAAAAGTTGGCTATAAGTTAATTATTTAGTAATTTTATTTTTTTTCTTATTTTTATATTAAATATTGCTAAATTATTTTATATATTAGCTTAAAGCTTTAATTAAAGCTTGTATTTATCTTTAATTTATTATAAAAAAGAGTTAAGTATAATTAAACTTGTAATAATATTATAAATACCTTAAGATTATTTTTTAATCTTAGGATACTTTTTATGCTTTTAATATTTAAATAAAATACTATCTTAATTATATATTAATACATTATTAAGCTTTAAATTTATTTTAAGTTTCTTATTAAAGATTATGCTTAAAATATAGCGGTAATATAAACTTAAGACTAAAATAGTGGATTTAAACTTTATAAATATTACTTAATATTAATTAAAAATGCTTTAAATTCTTAATTAATATTTATTATTATTATTGCAACCTTAAGCTTAAAGTAAAAAGGGCTGTAATATGGAATTAAAATGCCTACCTTACTT